CTCATAGCCTAAACTTTTCATCATCTTATCGCTTCTCTGCAAGTTTAAAATGTACCATCCTTTGTCAGAATGATGTAAAAGCCTCCAGGCCTGTAATCATCAAACAGTAAGGTACTAGCACAAAAACAGATGCATAGATCAATGAAAAAGAATAGAGAACCCAGAAATGGACCCTCAACTCTATGCTCAACTAATCTTCGACAAACCAGGAAAGAATATCCAATGGAAAAAAGTCTCTTCAACAAATGGTGTTGGGAAATTGGACAGCTACATGCCGAAGAATGAAACTGGACCATTTCCTCACACCATACACAAAAATACTCAAAATGGTTGAAAAACCTAAATGTGAAACAGGAATCCATCAAAGGGGCAGCCCGGGTGGCTCAGCGGTTTAGCGCCTGCCTTCAGCCCAGGGCCTGATCCTGGAGACCCAGGATCGAGTCCCACGTCGGGCTCCCTGCGTGGAACCTGCTTCTCCCTCTGCCTCTCTCTGTGTCTCTCATGAATAAATAAATAAAATCTTAAAAAAAATAAAAATAAAAATTTTATATATAAAAAAAGGAATCCAAAAAAAAAAAAAGGAATCCATCAAAGTCCTAGAGGAGAACACAGGCAGCAACCTCTCTGACCTCAACTGCAGCAACTTCTTGCTAGACACGGAAACAAAGGCAAAATGAATTCTTGGGACTGCATCAAGATAAAAAACTTTTGCACAGCAAACAGTTGACAAAACCAAAAGATAACTGACAGAATGGGAGAAGATACTTGCAAATGTCTTATTAGATAAGGGACTAGGATCCAACATCTATAAAGAACTTATAGATTTTCAACACTCAAAGAACAAATAATCCAATCAGGAAATGGGCAGAAGACATGAACAGACATTTCTTCAAAGAAGACATACAGCCAACAGACACATGAAAAAAAATGTTCAACATCACTTGGCATCAGGGAAATACAAATCAAAACCACAATGAGATACCATCTTACACTGGACAGAATGGCTAAAATGAACAAGTCAGGAAACACGAGATGTTGGCAAGGATGTAGAGAAAGAGGCACCCCCTTACACTGTTGGTGGGAATGCAAGCTGGTGCAGCCACTCTGGAAAACAGTATGGAGATTCCTCAAAAAGTCGAAAATAGAGCCCAACAATTGCACTACCAGGTCTTTACCCCAAAGATACAAATGTAGTGATCCAAGGGGGCACTTGCACCCCAATGTTTATAGCACCAATGTCCACAATAGCCAAACTATGGAAGGAACTGAGATGTCCATCGACAGATGGACAGACAGATCAATGGATAAAGAAGATGTGATATATATATACACACACACACAATGGAATACTACTCAGCCAAGCAAAAGATGAAACCTTGCCATTTGCAAGCAGGTAGATGGAACTGAAAGGTATTATGCTAAGAGGAATAAGTCAGTCAGAGAAATATAATTCTCATATGATTTCACTCATGTGGAATTTAAGAAATACAACAGGATCATAGGGGAAGGGAGGGAAAAAGAAAACAAGACAAAATCAGAGAGGGAAAAAAAAATCAGAGGGAGACAAACCATAAGAGACTCTTAATCATAGGAAACAAACTGAGGGCCGCTAGAGGGGAAAAGGGTGAGAGATGGGGCAACTGAGTGATGAAAATTAAGGAGGACATGTGATGTAATGAGCACTGGGTATTACATAAGACTGATGAATCACTGAACTCTACCTCTGAAACTAATAATATACTATATGTTAATTAATTGAATTTAAATTAAAAAAAAAATCTCCAGGCCTCCCCTGTCCCATCTCTGAACCTAGGGGGTAGAGAAAAATTTCCTCCCTTACAAGGGAAAAAACAACCCAGTTTTGACAATCAACTTGTAAAGATAGGAGGGGCTGCGTTGGTTGGCAGGGGGCTCCTCACCCAGAGGAGATGCTGCTGAGAGGTTTCTGCATGAGGTGGGAAATTGGAGCAGATGATCTGCTTCCCCACTTTTGCCACCTAGAGGAGGTACACTCGACCACTTGGGGTGAGAAACACTGAGAGATGGGCAGGATCCCACAGATGGGCAGATGAGAAAATGAAACTTTATCAGACCCAATGTTCCTTACTGAACGTATATAGCACTCAAGGAAGATAAACAAATCTCAGACAAGGCCACTTTGTAGTTGGAACAAGGCAAGGACAAGGCCACTGTGGAACCACAAATAATGACAATTTCCTCCTAACATGAGTAAGTCCTGCTTCCTTCTCAATAATAATTCTGGCCCACTTCAATCCTCCCACCTCCTGGGTAAAATTATTAATAAGATACTTAACCATTGAATTGCCCCTGCGACTGTAATCCAATTCAAAACTGTTCCCCACTTGCTTAAACCCTCCTTCTAGTTACCCACCACAAACCCAAATCCTACAATAAGCCCTTCCCAATTCCCTCTTAGTAAGGTACCTCATGTTTTCTCTGATGTGAATTCTCCCTTGCTGAACAAGATAAATAAATCTGATTCTTTTCTGAGTACAGGTATGCTCCTGATGGGATTTGATTGTGGACTTTATCGCAGTCTTAGCTTTCTTTAGCCCAGTCCTGCAGTACCCAAATAGGAAGACATAAGAATTTTAAGGGTTACTTGGAAGGGTTACTTTCAGTGATGGAGAAGCAACCTGACTTGGGCAGGTATTCAGTGGTAGGGGTTATGGGGGTGGGGTGAAGGGCTCAGGTGGGAATTGGGAAAGTTTGAATAATTCTCCTTCCACTGCCATCAGCCCTTTCTGTGGCCTGGGGTAAACCATTTCACTATGAGCCTTTTTCCATTTCTGTAAAAAAAAAAAACAGATTGAAATATATTTCTAAGCTTCTTCTAATCTTAATATTCTAGGATTCCAAACTCTAGAGGTTCTTATATTCCGAGGTAAATGTTCCCTTCTTCGTTCTCTGTACAACACTCATTACTGTTGCCATATCTGCATACCACCTGCACTTTTATGTATCTATGTGAATCATTTCTCAAATTTTTTCTTTAAATAGACCTTCAGTTTTTACTTAAATTTCCAGAGTGAAATTTACATCACTTCTTAAATGGAAAACCAGCTTCGCTGAAGCCGCCTTGGCCCCTCAGGCCAACCTCATAATCTAAACTTCAGAAACACTCAGAGCCCAAAGACTGATGAACTAACCTTTCTTTGTGTATCTATAGATTGTGCATTCTTTCCTAGAAGTAACATAGCACTTCTGCACCTCACAAAACAGAAACCAGACCCCCTTGCACAAACCCCAGGCACTAAGGAACCAGGCCCCCTTGCACAACCTTCCAGCCCTTTACCTGTGTTGGTAAAGCTGGCAGGTAACCAAAAAGTGTTAGGGCCACTGCATTCCCTTTACTGGTTAACTGCCCTAAACCCCTTTCTAAATCCCTGAGTCAGGCAGAAACCTCGGAGCTGGCCTTCGGACAAGAGTGTGCCTTCTCAGCACTCCCCCTGGGTGGCTCTTGGTTGAGAGCCTGCTTTCGGCTCAGGTCGTGACCCCGGGGCCCTGGGATGGAGTCCCACATCGGGGCTCCCTGCATGGAGCCTGCTTCTCCCTCTGCCTATGTCTCTGCCTCTCTCTGTGTCTCTCATGAATGAATAAATAAAATCTAAAAAAAAATAGTGTGCCTTCTCTCCAGGTGGCCAGCCTTTTGAATAAAGCTCCTTATTCCTTTCCAAGCGAAACTCAGTATCTTGCGTATTGGCCTGGAGTGCGTCGGACAGCCCACCTTGGGGTTCAGCAACACCGCTTGGTAGAAATGAAAGAATTTCTGCAAGCACACACACAAACCCTAAGACAAAACAATGTTGTTTAAGATGGGCTTACCTTCTGGAGAGATTTGGAAAATGAAGCCCTCGCCCTGTCAAAAAGGGAAATAAGCAAAGGTTAGAAACACGTTAACTAAGTACTGGTGTCAAACTCTCTTAGGCTTGAAGCAGGACTTTTCTCTGCCTAACGTGTTCAAGCACCGCGAGGCCCTTTCACGTACCCTGAGTGGCGTCTACACCTCACATTTTCAGAAACAACGCCCATCCTTCGCAGCTTGAAACTGGTCTTTTCAGTTCTCAGATTAAATATAAACGTCTCAGAACACCCTTCTGGGACTAGCACCCCCCCCCAACTACATTACTTTCCCCTCACATCGTAAGCATTAAATAAACTTTTATTGAAGAGTACTCCCTCGTACTACTTTAGGGTACTCATCACAATGTGTCGTGGTGCATGTAGGTTCAGACTCTTTTCATACATTTCTGTGCACTTCTGTACCTCCGATCTCGACATATAATGGGTTCCCAGTAAATGCAGGTGAGGTGAAGGAATAAAGCCTTCACAGCTCCTGCAGCTGTGGGTCGCTTTCGCCCCATTCTCCAAGCGGGCTGAGACCAGCCTCCTTCCTCCGCGCGAGGCCGGGTTAGCCCCGCCTCCTCCCCACGAGCCGGCCTTGCCCCGCCTCCTCCCCCCGAGCCGGCCACATTAGCCCCGCCTCCTCCCCACGAGCCGGCCTTGCCCCGCCTCCTCCCCCCGAGCCGGCCACATTAGCCCCGCCTCCTCCCCAGCCGGCCGCATTAGCCCCGCCTCCTCCCCCCGCCGAGCCGGCCTAGCCCCGCCTCCTCCCCCCCAACCGGCCACATTAGCCCCGCCTCCTCCCCCCGAGCCGGCCACATTAGCCCCGCCTCCTCCCCCCGAGCCGGCCACATTAGCCCCCCTCCTCCCCAGCCGGCCACATTAGCCCCGCCTCCTCCCCCCGAGCCGGCCACATTAGCCCCGCCTCCTCCCCCCGAGCCGGCCACATTAGCCCCGCCTCCTCCCTCCCCTCTGGGCCGGTTTGGCTCCGCCTCCCCGTTAGCGCCGGGTCGATTTGGCTCCACCTTCTCCCTCTGCGCGGCGCTGATTTAGCCCCGCCTTCTCCCTCTACCAATGACAGAGGCTCTCTCGGCAGCGGCGGCCGAGGGCGGTGGGCGGGGCCACGCAATGACGCCACCCGCGCGTTTCCGGCCTGAGAAAACGCCGCGTTTCTGAGGCGACGCCTCGACTGGCAGTTACCACCGCGCTAGGGTCCTCCCGGGCGGCCGCCGGCATCACCAGCGTCACCATGGGGGCTGTGCTGGGCGTCTTCTCTCTCGCCAGCTGGGTGAGTTCGGGGTCTGGTGTCTCTGCGGGACGTGTCGTTTTGGGGAGGGCGATAGGGCGTCCCAAGCTCTGACCCGATCGGGCCTCGGCTGGGGGCTTGTGGGGACGGGCCCTGGGCTGCAGAGCGTATCCGGGGGCGCAGACCCAAATCCGTGATGCCCGCTGCTCCCCGCCCCCGGGTCGGGATCGGGCGGCTCGCCTTCCGGGTTTGTGGGGGGAACGTAGGAGGCCAGGCCGTCACTGTTTACAATTTCGATTGCCCCGCCCCCGCGGGGTTTCCGGCCTCTGGGCTCCTCGGGCGCTGGAACCCCGACCGCGGAATGAGAGTTCCGGGGCGAGGGCGTTCTGCTTCATCTCCAGGGGCCTTCTTCAAGTGGCGTCGTTTAATTTGGGGTGGCTTACGGGATATCGTTATCGCATAGCGCGGATTTACCCGGGCTACTGAGAGTGTGGCGGAGCTGGGATTTTAACCGAGGCCAGTTTGCAGCTGTGCAAAGGAACAGAAGAAGGCCTTGGCCCTTCCCGTAATATGGGGCTAATCACCCCAGCATTCATCGCCCTGAGAGCTGCTGTGAGGATAGAGTGAATAAATGGGTGGAATCGCTCGGTAGATTGTAAACGCCATATTTTGCAAGGAAATTTTAGGATCTGTGGAAGAGAATATGGTGAGTTTCCTCACGTACTCCCTCCCGAGGAGTAGGATTTTTTAAAATCACTTATATGTTTCATTACTTCCCAACTGATTTTTCTTGACGAAAGACTCGATCTCAGCTCATTGCACTACCACTTTTTAGGGACAAAGTGTATTTTTTCCGTTCTTGAAGGTTGTTGGCCCCAAATCAAAAGGGCGTTTGGTCATTTACAGGTTCCTTGAGAGCAGTGGCTTTCCAATTTTTTGACCTTGACCCGAAATTAAAAAAAAAAAATAGATTTTACATAGTTTACTTAATATGCCCGTTTAGACACAAGTTTTGTGAGATCATTTTTACCTTTAGCATCTCCTGTACAATTTTTCTATCACAGGACAAACCCAGGTAAATTGAATTTTACAATCTAGTAGTGGGTCAGACTACTTGCAAAGTAGATTTAGAAGAAATATATAGTTAAGGTAACTGAGTAAATTTGTAAATTGAAACAAAGATGTCTTGCTCATCCTAATAACCTGAAACGCATTTTGCTCTTGATGTAAAACTAATATTTGAATTAATGCCATCAAAGCATTTCTATCTGTAAACTGCTTTTCTATTTTATTAATCTCTTGTTCAGCAGGAATAGCAAGTAGTGCAGTGTATCAGAGAATGGAATGAGGAAGGGAAGGAATAATGGGAAATGAGGTCGGAAAAGTAGCAGGAAGCCAAATCATGTGGATACCCGTTGTGTGGTCTTAACAGGCCAATTTAAGGACTTTAACTCAAGTGATATGCGGATCCGTTGTAGAAAAGAGAAATGATGTGATCTGACCTGTGTTGGAGAACAGATTGTGGAAAAGAAAGGGTAAACCAGTGTAGAGGAGGAAAAACTTTCCTTGCATCCTCTATGGGGTTGGTGGTTGGGGGCCTGCAGATTAAAGTACTGAAAGATTAGCAAGAGGAAAAAAAGCACTATGTACACATGCAACACACACACAGGATGTTATTCATCGTTCAGTGATGAATAACTCAAAGGGATGGTTAGAAATTAGGGCTTATTGTATACCTTACTTAATAGGGGAAAAGAAAAGAGCTTCTATAGGAAGAACAAATAGATTTCTTTAGGAAAGACAAATAGGTTTTTAGGAGAACAAACAGGAGATGAGAAAGTTTGTGGTAATACTTGTTTATGTAGGTGCAAAGGGCTTTTGCCTTCTTGATGGCCATAAAACTCCCTTGGAGAGGGAATTTATGGCAGCCTTCTATCCCAGAGGTTGCTGCTTTTAGTCAGATGAGGAAAGTTCCAAGAACCTTTTCTTCACTATATCTGTTGAACTTCAAGTGTCTTCATCTTAAAATAATCTTTATACCAACTCTGGGTTCTGTTCGGGTGGCTACTGCAGTGAAATTGGAGCCATCGCATTTTATCCGGATGAAAGATGATAGTAGTGGCTTGGACCAACATGATAGCTAAGGATGCTAAGAAAGTAGTCAGATTCTGGATATATTTATTTATTTTATTTATTTATTTAAAAATTAAAAATAAAATAAAATAAAATAAAAATTAAGTAGGCTCCATACCCAACCTGAGGCTTGAACTCACAACCTTGAGATCAAGAGTCCCTGCTCTACCAACTGAGCCAGCCAGGTGCCCCAGATTCTGGATATATTTTTAGGATAAAGCTAATGTGCTGACAGATTGGACGAGGGTTTTGGAAAAATAAAACATCAAGGATGACTCCAGGGTTTTTGGCCTGAGTAACAAGAATAGAGTTGTCATTTACTGAGAGAGAGAAGTGACTTAACATAGTAGGTCAGTTATACAGATTGAGTGCCTACTTTAAAGGTACAAGAGATACAACAGTAGGTGGCCCTTCTTAAAAGCACTTATATTTTCATGATGTTTAAAAACAAGTTAGTGGGTATAAGGTTTCTAGGGCTAAATAAAAAAAAAACAAAAACCCAAACCACAAACTGGGTGGTTTAAGCAACAGAAACTTGTTGTCTCAGTTTCTGGAGGCTAGCAGTCCCAAGTTCCCAAGTGGAAGGTGTCAGCAGGGTTGGCTCCTGAGAGTGGTGAAGGAGAATCTATTCCATGCTTCTTCCCCAGCTCCTGGTGGTTTGCTAGCAGTCTTTAATATTCCTTGGCTCGTAGATCTCTGCTTTTGTCTTCACTTGGTGTTTTCCCTGTGCTTCATGTTTCTGCCCAAATTTCTCCTTTTTATGATACCAGTCATGTTTAATTAGGTGCTCACTCTTCTCCACTATAACATCATCTTAGCTAATTTCATCTGGAATGATTTTATTTCCAAATAAGGTCACACTTTCAGGTACTGGGAAACAGGACTTCAATATATGAGTTTGTGGGGGTAAGGGGACACAGTTCAGCCCATAACAAACACTAGGCAATTATTATGAGGTTATTTAATAGGGCAGAAAATAAGTAGCTAAAGAGAGTCAAGAGTGTGAGATTGCAGATAAAATAAACATGAAGCAATTAGTGTCATTGTTTTTGGCTGTAAAACTTCTGTTTCTGTCTGTAGCCAGCTATTGACCTCTATATGGTCTTTTGGCCCAGACTGTAGTTAAGAATTGGAGACTGAAGCTGGGTGATCATTTTCCCATGGCTGTTGCAATTACAAGTAAAAATGGCTCCAAATATGCCTTCATCCAGAATGCTCACCAGAGATCCAGGTTACTCTTTTTTTTTTTCAATTGAGATAAAATTTCATAACATAAAATTAACCATTTTAAAGTGTATAGTTCAGTGGCATTTAGTATATTCACGGTGTTATGCTGTCATCATATCTGTGTAGTTCCAGAACATATTCATCCCCCCAGAGAGAAACCTGATTCCCATTAAGCAGTCACTCCCCAGCCTGTGTCCCTCCTTTTCTAACCTTTGGAAACTACTAATGCTTTCTGTCTTTGGATTTATTTACTCTGTATATTTCATATAAATGAAATACAATGTGTGACATTTTAGATCTGGCTTCTTTCACTTAGCCTGATGTTTTTTAGGTTCACCCATGTTGCACCATGTATCGGTACTTCATTCATTTTCGTGATTGAATAATGTTCCATTGTGTGGATTTACCACATTTTATTATCCATTTGTCAATTAATGGACATTTGGGTTGTTTTTGCCTTTTGGCAACTGTCAGTAGTGCTGCTTTGAACATTCATGTACAAGCTTATGTTTGAATACCTATTTCAGTTCTTTTAAGTGTATGTTTAGGAGAGGAATTGCTGGGCCAAGTGGTGATCCTGTGTTTAACTTTTTTGAGGAATCTCCACGTTATTTTTAAATTGAGCTAAATGGTTCTTGTTATCTTTATGTATAAGGGTTTCCATGTAATGGTGCTTGATGCTATAATACCAGTTTGGTTTGGTAACTAAGATTCCTTAAATAGCAAGTGGAGTTAGATTTTTATATTGTTTTTAAATAAAGTAGGATCCTGTGTGAGTATAAGTAACATTTGTTGGGCTCTTAGTATGTTTTAGGCATGTGTTGAGTACTTACTTAATACAGCAATGTCTGAGGGAGGAAGATTCCATTATTCAGTTGCAGATGGAGAAATAAGCTTAGCTTATGTAACTTGCTGAGTTAGAAACAAATAATATTGACTCTAGAACCCATGCTTTTTTTTTTTTTCTTAACTAGGCTCCATGCCCAGCACAGAGCCCAGCATGGGGCTCAAACTCATGACTGTGAGATGGAAGACCTGAGCCGAGATCAGGAGTCACATATTCAGTTGACTGAGCCACCCAGGCGCCCCAGGACCCCTGATTTTAACCACTTTTTCCAAACCATAACTTTTTTTTTTTTAAGATTTTATTTAATTATTCATGATAGACACAGGGAGAGAGAGGTAGAGACACAAGCAGAGGGAGAAGCAGGCTGCGTGCAGGGAGCCCGACGTGGGACTCAATCCCGGGACTCCAACATCCTGCCCCGGGCTGAAGTCAGGCGCTAAACCACTGAGCCACCTCGGGATCCCCTAGCCATAACTCTTTCAGTTAAAGCTGTTAAAGTCTGGTTTGCCTCATCTTCTACTCTGTGACCTTTATGACATGAAGGAGTCCACTGAAAGAGGTCTCAAATAGCTGTGTTGTGCCTGTTACAGGTTCCCTGCCTTTGCAGCGGTGCCTCATGTCTGCTGTGTAGTTGCTGTCCCAATAGCAAGAATTCCACGGTGACTCGCCTCATCTATGCTTTCATTCTCTTCCTGGGTGCTGCTTTGTCCTGTATCATGTTGACGGAAGGGATGGAAACGCAGCTGAAGAAGGTGAGTAGAAGTAACGGTAGCCTTAATGGACTGGTTATTTGTATTTTCTATTTTGCATAATTGTAGTTGTAATTAACGTTCTTGTTTCTTTACTGTTATAAAACTCAGTCAAATTCATTGTGGTTGTTGGGTTTTTAAATTACTTTTGGGTATGGTCAGGACATAGAATATAAAAGTATTAGTCCTTTTCCAGAAATCAGGGTACTCAGAATAAACGTGTTCAGGCTCTACTCTAGCATTTGAAAGAAAAATATTACAAGAGTGGCACGAAAAAATTCTTTCCACATATGTTTTAGAGTTAAACATTTAACCTAGGATAGCCCTTTACCTGTGGAAAGAGACGGTTGTAGCATGAAAATTCATGTCAAAATGGGAGATAACCTCATCAGCAAGAAGAGCAAAGAAGAGAACACTTTTATTTGTGAAATGCAAATTGTTTCTACTCTTTGGGGATAAGATTGTAAGTGAATTGGAAGACAAAGAGAAAAGTCCCACAACACAGTCTTGCAGTTTTTGAAGTAGTCAGTTTTATAAACTCAGGTCTTCTTATGACAGGATACAGTCTTTGTTTAAATATGGATATTCCCATAACATTGAAATTGCTTTTTCCAGATTCCTGGATTCTGTGAAGGGGGATTTAAAATCAACATGGCTGATAGGAAGGTGGATAAAGATTGTGATGTTCTTGTTGGTTATAAAGCTGTATATAGGATCAACTTTGCCCTCGCCATCTTCTTCTTTGTCTTCTCTCTGCTCATGTTAAAAGTAAAAACAAGTAAAGATCCCAGAGCAGCAGTACACAATGGGTATGTAAATTTATTATTTACTTACCATATTATATTGTGCGGATCCTCCCCTTGGGCAGTTAATGTTGCCATCCTCATGGAAGCAGTAGAGTATATGGATCAGTGGCCCACATATATTTCTGACCTATTGTACATGTGAAGTTGTTTCAGTGTCGTTTTCAGTTGGAGTTCTGTAGCGTAGAGGGGAAGAGCAAAGTTTTGTCTTTTTTTCAATACCTTTGTTTCAAGTTCCTAGATTTTTTCAAACACATGTGAAACAGTTCAGGGATTGTGCTAGGCACTGTATGCACACGCAAACACATATGCTTTTTACTGGTAAAAGATACAAATGAAAAAAAATAAAAAATAAAAGAAATAGACTTGATCTATTGAACATCATACAGAAAGATAAACTAGTTATATATGGGCCACTGATTTATAAATCTGTTGTTTCCCATTCCTGACTGCCCCCACCTCCGTTCTCCTTTGACATATAATTCTTATTTGGAGACTGAAGGAAGTTTTATACACTTTATATGTATTTTAATCTCATTTTTGTAGATGTAGTAACTGAATTTCAGAAAGATTAAATAAAGTGCCTGAGATCTCTGAGCCAGTGAGAGTTGGGGTTGGGATTAAAACTTGGGTCTGTCTAGCTCCAAAGCCTGATTCCTTTCACTTTGCCATACAAGCCTTTAAAGATCATGGACTAAAAGCCACGTTTGGTCCTAGCTTTGCCAGTGATGAACTGTGTGACTGTGAGCACAAGGCACTTATGTCCTATATGTGAAAGAAGGATTAGGTGATAACTTTTCCCTACATCTAATAGTGAATTGCTTTATATTTAGCTAACATTGTTAGTTGAATGCTCCAGACTTCTAGAAAAATTCCTATCTTCAGTTGCTAAATGTAGGGAAATTCTTAAGTTGTAGGTTTATCTCTTATTATGTCTATCAATGATTTGTTCTCTGGGTTAATGTTTGTCCTGAAATTGTCTGAAAAATTCAGTGAAGCAGCTTCATTTGATAAAATGAAGAAATAAGCCCAGAAAATCATATTGGAAATGCTACTGAGTCTTTTGCATTTCAGGAATTCACTTTTCTCAGTGGAAGGACGAAAATTAACATTTCATAAATGCACTTTTGTATTTTAATAGGTTTTGGTTCTTCAAAATTGCTGCCATTGTTGGTATCATGGTTGGCTCTTTCTACATCCCTGGGGGCCATTTCACCACAGGTATGGCTCACTGTTGAGAGTTAATTATACTATATATACAAACTTTACAAATGATGAGAGTTGAAGTTACATTTTCATTACTGGTTTTGCAGAACTGGCCATTAAATGAGGTGGCGTTCAATTATATGACTTGGTACTACCATTAAGGTAGCAATTAATTGATTAAACTCAGGAGGTATTCAGCCCATTTCTCAGCTGTTCTGGAACCGTATGTTGCCAATATTTTAATCGCTTACCTTCTCACTTGGCAATACTAAGTTAATCTGAGAGTTTGTCAACATGGGGACCTGTACTCATATGTGTCCTACTATCCCTATCTTAATATGCTTTTTTACCGTAATATCAGGTAAGAATTTTTTATTTATTCATGAGAGACAGAGATACACTGTCAAATAGCTGTGGATTTCCACTGTGATTTTTTTTTTTTCCCTTCTAAAGTAAAAGGCTTATTATACCATTTGGAATGTCAGATCCCAGACTGCCCTTGGCACAGCCAGAACAAGTTTTAAAAGGTCTGAAACCCAGCAAAACACTTCTCAGAGAATAGCCTTTGAGTTTGGAATTAGAATAATCTTATACTGCTGGAGACAGAATATGTCTTTACTCACCTCTCTCTTGAATCAAAATCGTTTTAAAATTGGATAGTAACATTCTGAAATGTTACTCTTGTGGTAAAGCATAACTTTGTTCTTTTGGTTTGTAGCCTGGTTTATTGTTGGCATGGTTGGGGCCTTTTTGTTCATCCTCATCCAGCTAGTGCTGTTGGTAGACTTTGCTCACTCTTGGAATGAATCATGGGTAAGTCGAATGGAAGAAGGAAATCCAAGGTGCTGGTATGCCGGTAAGTATCTAAACTCCCCTATAAGAGCCATATTGCATTATGCTATATTAAACAGGATGTACAGTAAAAATCTCCATTGATTTAAATGTGTAAACTTCCAAATTAGAGCGGACTCTTTAAAAACTAGTTTCCCAGTTGAGTCAATTCCGAATTATACATATAACTGGAAAGGGGAAGCACAGGTGATAGAAATCATTGGCTCTCTCAATTCATTTATTTTGAGATTTGTAATGTAACTAGATGTGTTTAGATAAGGAAAAACATCTGTATATTTAGTGATACAGTTCTGGTTTTGATTTCCTTGTTTCCACGGACAGGGGACTCAGGTAGGTTATACATAGGGGTCATCTGCCCACATCCCTCAGGCAGGTAGAAGTGAACAGTCTTTACTGCTTTATTCAAAGTATGGCCCACATCCCTTGTAAAAGCTTTCTGATGGAAAAAGGGCACTTAAAATTTCTAGGGTGGGAATAGGATTTCTAGCTTATAATAATGGGGAAGGACTTTGGAGTTCTCTACTTATTAGGGGCAACGACCTAGCCATTTAAAAAAATAGTGTTGAGATCCCTAGTCTCTGCACCCCACCCATTATTAACATAACAGCTGCTCTTGTGTGAAGAATGAAAAACCAGGAATTACAGAAGAAAACAGATTACCTGTAATGCCAATCTATAGTAATTGATACTCACTGTTAACATATTACTCTGTATCCTTCCAGTCTTCTTTCTTGCATATGTACCTGAAGAGTCACTGAAAAAGATGTATATTTGTATCTTATTAATTTTTACATGTATTATGCATTCGAATAGCTTACAGTTGACTCAGAGAAATAGCCTGTGACTATGTGACTACAGTGTAACAATAAATACCTAATAATATATTTCTGAGCACATACTTGGTTTTTTCCTTAGAATAAATTCCTAGGGGATCCCTGGGTGGCTCAGTGGTTTAGCGCCTGCCTTTGGCCCAGGGTGTGATCCTGGAGATCCAGGATGGAGTCCCACGTCAGGCGCCCTGCATGGAGCCTGCTTCTCTCACTGCCTGTGTCTCTGCCTCTCTGTCTCTCTCTCTCTCTCTCTTTCATGAATAAATAAAAAATCTTAAAAAAAAAATAAATTCCTAGAAGTAGAAGAGTGGAAGAGTATGGATATATTAGGGGTTTTAGTATACATTATCAAACTGCCCAGTTTTCTTTTCATCTTATTTATCTAGCTTGCTTTTTATTTATTAATTTTTAAAAATATTAATTTGAGATAGAGCACATAAGCAGGGGGAGAGACAGAGGGAAAAACAGGACTCCTGCTGAACTCACGACCTGACCCAAAGGCGGCCGCTTAACCAGCTGAGCCACCCAGGCGCCCCCTAGCTTGCATTTTTTTTTTCCTGGCTTGCATTTTAAATAACAAAAGCAAAACCAAAAAAAAAAAAAAAAAAACCCAAAACGAATACAAAGATGATGGAACTTAATAAAAAATAAAAATGCCAATCTCCACTCACTTGCAACCCACTTTCCTCTCTAGATGTGACCACGATTACTGGACCTGTATGTATTTGTGCACATGTACACGTTTTTGTTACTTAAATGTAAATAGGTTCACATTATATATTCTCCATGACTTTCTCTTCTCACCAACTATATGATGAGTATCTTCTGACATATCAGTGAGTTTAGATACATCTTACTTAATGGTATATGGTTCCATGGTGTTCCTTGGCATGGTAGACCATAATTTATTTAACCATTGCCCTGTTTTGTTGGTCACTTCAGTTGTTGATAACTATTTATTTTAGCATGAGATTTAAGAAATTGTTTTATTAGGTTGCCTGGGTGGCTCAGTTGGTTACGCATCTGACTTTGCTTCAGGCCATGATCTCAGGGTTCTGGGATAGAGCCCCACATCAGGCGCCACACTCATCAGGCACCACACTCAGCATGGAGTACAGTTCTCCCTCCATCTTCCTCTGCCTCTTACCCTCCCCCTGCTCATGCTGTCTCTCTCTCTCTCTCTCAAATAAATAAATAGAATCTTTTTTTAAAAAAATTGTTTTCTCATGAGTTGGAAATCCCAAAACACCTCCCCATTTCTGATAGAAATGTATTAATTTTTTATCTATTTACTTCTGTTTACTTACTATAAAAAATGAATTTTTATAATTCATTTGAATTACTCAACTTTAAAAGAATTTAATAATGAGTTACAGATTTGTCATTTTGGAGTAACTAAAGAGTAGATACATCTTACATATTCATATGGAAAAATATTAAGAACTGTGCTAGTACTTTAACATACATTATCATTTTATAGTAACATCATATACATTGCTTAATTTTAAATATGCAAAACCCATGGAGATTATTAATAGAAACCGGTTTTCTCAAATAAGTCCACGCTGTGAATTAAGCACAAGTTAATTGAGCTCACCACTGCTACAGTTGGCTGGGCATACTGTTATTTTTTTATGTTTTCTAATTTTCAGAGTTATATAGCTAACTTGATTATGTGAACATAAAGGAATATTATTTTAGGTTTTCGAAAATAGCAAATATGCCACTTTCCCACAATGATGTAGTTTCATCATGGCAGGAAGCGGGTTTATGTAGCCAGTGGCTGCAGAGGACAAATTTCATAAAAGATGCCTGTCTGTTGTTTTCTGCTGACTCCATCCCTGGCATTTAGCTTGCTAGAACTGGGCCAATTTGAGGGCCCACAAGGTTTGCAAGTTCCTAGAAAAGCTTATAATGCACATTATGTAGCATACAGTTAGAGTTTATACTCTAGCTGGAATGATCAAATATCTGGTATTTGAACCCATGGAATTGAGGTAGGTGATCTATAAAGTAAATCCAGCCACCTCTAACATGATCTGAAACATCAACCTTGGGCCCTTCTGTAATTTCCCTGTAAAATGTGGACCACCATCACAGTAAAATAATGTGTCTTTATTTTTATATGAAGAAGAGAATTCTTCTTTGTTAGAAAAGTTTGCCACAGTCACGTGCGTTCATGTTGGTTTCCCATTTTCCAGCTTTGCTCTCCGTCACAAGCATCTGCTACATTCTGTCTGTCGTCTTTGTCGGCTTGCTCTACACGTACTACACCAAACCAGATGGCTGCACGGAGAACAAGTTCTTCATCAGTATTAACTTGATCCTTTGTTTTGTGGTGTCTATTATATCCATCCACCCAAAAATTCAGGTATGGTTTTATGCTCCTTCCTCCTATGAAAGATATTTAATGAATGCTAAACTTGAACCGATGTAACTTTTATATGAGTTTATGTTTATCTACTTAAACATTTTCCCATATTATGATAATTTCTTCATAATTCTAATTTAGTAACTGTAAAATGTGCCATTGAGTGCCTGTATCATAATTAAGTGAATAATTTCCCTAGTGTATTAAAAAGAAAAAAACACCTAGGTAACCTGAGAATTTTATAGCTCTTACAAAATAGTTTATGTCATGAGAATGATTTTTATGAATCAATAACCAAGCTGTTTTAGGGAGATTAAACTAGAGAATCATTGCTTTTAATATTTAAAAACAAAACTCATGTGTGCAAGTTTCATCATTTAAATACCATACCTTAAAAAAATTCATGGAAAAAAAATTCATGGAGCTTTATATAAGAAATAGGAAAAGAAATGTACACATCACCTCTCCTTCCAAAAATGAGAAAACTGAAGGTCCAGAGAGATGATGGGTCACCTAGCTAGTTAGCACCGCTGTTGAACTTAGCCTCTATGCCACCAAGGGACTAAAATCAAAGCCTCTGTGGAATACACAGGCATTCCAGGGCTATCAAATGCTTTGGGAACCAATAGTACACGGTTCCTCTTTCTTGGTTCTTTTTCAGGCCAACTCAGACTGAAAGGTTATTTGTTCTCTTTCAACTGTCAAATAGAATAAGAAGGTTCTCAGTTAATAACATTTCACGGGGGGCCCAGGGAATTCCACTGGGTTTTAGAAAGTCAGCCCTTGCAGTTCCTGTGGCATTGTTTTCTTTTTGATTCCATAGGAACACCAGCCTCGGTCTGGTCTCCTGCAGTCCTCTCTCATCACCCTCTACACCATGTACCTCACCTGGTCAGCCATGTCAAATGAACCCGGTAAGGGAATGTCAATAGCACATTCATTTGATGGAGAGAAAGTAGGAAATGACTCCTTTGGCAGGTGCAAAAACTAGAGGTGGAGCAAATACCAAACAGGCGAACAAACAAAAAGCTTCACTTAAATGGACTGTGTTCACTGTATGATGATGCAGATACATTTCAAGTTTTATTCTCCATGTCTGTCTGTAGCTGTTCATAGCTGACAGCCTAAAGGACCGCAGTCCTTACACAGTCTAGGCTTTTCCCTGGAATAAGTCAACTAGTCAAGAGTTGGACAAGGCACCATTGTTTTGGCCCTTTGTAGCATTGTTGTAATTGAATTTCACTGTGGTGTTACAGGCTCTAGAGGAAATGGCTGTAGAAACCTCCTTCTGTAGTTACTGCATTGTGTCTCAATAGTGCATTCTATGGACTTGTTTTAAAGGAAAATGGTTACAGCAGACCCTTCAATGATGACTCAACTTACTGCTATTGTACTCCTCTTTAATAACCTTGTAAAAACAAAGCTAGCAGAAAAACTCCCGGTGCTTTAAAGCCTTTGTACAACAGACCCAAAAAGATTCACCAGTTAAATGTCAAAATCTGTAAAGTCAAGATAGACATTTATGAAATTTGACAAATGCTTTGTTGTATCTTTTCTTTTTTTTTCTAAAACTAAGTCCCTGATTGCAACACAAGTAGGTAACTAATTGCTGAGTTTGCAGGTTCTTTTAAGTCTAGCATTCCCATGTTTTACATCGTGACTGAATGATGTGTGAGCACATCCCTCACATCCCTTCCTGGAACAAGAGAATCTCTAACTAAAGATAATAAAAAGTCTTCCACTTTCAGATCGTTCCTGCAACCCTGGCCTCTGGACCATTGTGACGCATATGACTGCACCAACCTTGGCTCCTGGAAATTCAACTGCCATAGTCCCTACCTCTGCACCACCCTCAAAGGGTGGGCATTTTATAGATCTAGAGAATTTTATTGGGCTGACAGGCTTCGTTCTCTGCCTTTTGTATTCTAGGTAAGTTAATAAGTACTTGGGACAAGAATCTCATCAAGGTTAATGGCAGAGCAAAGAAGCTATTTTGCTTTCAAAGAGCAGTGTGAGGAAGTAAGAAAAACAACTTAACTCTTCTTTATTGAAAGTCCTCAACTTCAGTTACCTAGCCACATATATTTCTTAAAGCCTAGTAAATTCTCTCATCAAGTAAGTTCTTCCAAACTGACATAGAGATACCTTCTCCCTGGATAGGAAGATAAAGTCTTCACCTGACCGTAAATCTGCTAGGGTAGTGGCTCTGAAAATTGGTTGGTTTCCCCTTTTGGTAAGAAAATCTTAATTTTCTGATTGTTGTAAAAAATATTTCTAAAAAAAAAATATATATATATATATATATATATTTCTAGAACTGTAGAATTGTATACATCTAATTTTAAAATCTCTAATCCAAGAGCTCAGATAAATGTGTGATAGCACTTTGCGTTCATCCTCTTACCCATTTTTTATTGATATTTTGTATATAATAGCATGTAGTTTTAAAATATGAGCTAAAAATGGGCAAGAATATATTTATACAAATTAAAAACATAAGTGAGATAAGGGTAAAGTGGGAAATGAAAGTATCCTCCCTTCAAATTTACCTCTTCCATGGTTAACATTTTGGTACGTATTACTTCATACTTTTTTCTCCAGTGCGTCTACTTATTTATCAATTTGTTTATTTCCTTATAATTATATGTAATTTTAATTTTATATGTAGTTACATATAACATTGTATTTATATTACTTGATAAAATAATTTTTAAAAGTAAGTTAGGGACATATTATAAATACATATAGTATTCTCAAATATGAATTTGTCATAATTTGGACAACTTTCCAAGTATATGTAGATTTTTTTTCTTAATGATTGTTTAAGGGTTGGCAAACTACAGCTCTTGGGCTGTCTATTCTTGTAAAGTTGTATTGGAACACAGCTATACTTATGTGTTTTTAAGTTGTCTGTGACTTTTGTTTGTTTTGCTTTTGGTCTAATGTGTTTTGTTTTGTTTTTGAGATACAATTTCCATACTATAGAATTCACACTTTTAAAGTATACAGTTGAGTAGTTTAGTCTGTGTTTTCAGGATCATGCAGCCATCACCACCGTCCATTTTAGAAGATTTTATTTTACCAAAAAGAAACTTCATGGTCATTAGCAGTCACTTCCCTATTCCTTATCGCTCCAGCAGTGGCAGAAACTAATCTCCTTTTGTTTCTGTAAAAGTGTTTATTTGAATGTTTCGTTTATGTGGAATCATGAAATATATGGTCTTTGGTGACTGGCTGCTTTCATTTCACTTAGGATGTTTTCAAGGTTCATCCATGTTATATAGGACTTAATTGTTGGAAATGATACTCCATTGTGTGGATATATATACTACATCTTGTTAATCCGTCGTCAGTTGATGGATGTTTATTTGAGTTGATTCCACCATGGGACTATAATGAATAATGCTGCTGTGAATATTTGTGTACAGGTTTTTTGTGTGGTTGTACATTTTCAGTTCTCTTTTATCTATACCTAGTTGTAGAATTGCTAGGCTATGTGGTACCTCTTTGTTTACTTTTTTGAGAACTGCCAGTGTTTTCCGACGTGGCTACATCATCTTAACAGTCCCACTGTACAAGACTTCCAATTTGATAATTTTTTAATCATTACATTGTAATTGTCTTTTATTGTAGCCATTCTAGAGGATGTGAAGTGGCATTTCATTATGGTCTTGATTTCCATTTTCCCAATGACTAATGATGTTGAACCTTCTTTTCATGTGCTGGTTAGCCATTTGTATATCTTGAAGAAATGTGTATTTACATTTTTTGCCTATTTTTAAGTTGGGTTGTCTTATTATTGTTTTTGTATATGGCTTGTGGTAAGGGGTCCATCTTCATTCTGTTGTGTGTGGCTATCTAGTTGGTCTCAGCACCATTTGTTGAAAAGACTATTCTTTACTGTGTTGAGTTGACCTGGCATCCTTGTCAAAAATCATTTGACCATAAATGTAATGGTTTATTTCTGGACTCAACCGTATTCCAGATTTGTCCAGATTTGTTCTTTTTCAGGATTGTTTTGGTTATTCAGAGGGCCTTGCATTTCTGTGTAAATTTTAGGTTTAGCTTGTCAGTTTGAGATTTTGATAAGGATTACATTGAATCTGTTCATCAGCTTAGAGAGTATTACTATCTCAACACTGTTAATAAGGCTTCTAGTTTGTAACATGGGATGTTTCATTTAGGTCTTCAGTTTTTTTCAGTGGTTTATGGTTTTTAGTGTACAAGTCTTAAACATGTTTTGTTAATAATTCTAAGTGTTATTTTTGACAGTATTAGAAGTGAGATGGTGTTTTTGTTTTTGTTTTAAGATTTTATTCATGAGAGACATAGAGAGGTACAGACATAGGCAGAGGGAGAAGCAGGCTCCATGCAGGGAGCCCGATGCAGGACTCAATCCCAGGTCTCCAGGATCACACCCTGGGCTGAAGGTGGCGCTAAACCACTGAGCCACCCGGGCTGCCCAAAAGTGAGATAGTTTTCTTAATATATGTTTTAGGTTTTTCATTGTTACTGTATAGACATAGAATTTTCATATATTGATTTTGTATTCTGTAAGATCATTTATTGATTCTAATAGTGTGTATATTCCTTAAGATCTTCCATGTACAAGGTCAAGTCACCTGCAAATAGAGATCATTTTACTTCTTTTCCAATCTAAGTGCCTTTTATCTTTTCGTTTCCTAATTGCTCTGGCTTGAACCTCCAGTACAGTAAATAGAAATGGTGACAGTGGACTACTTGTCTTGTTCCTGATCTCAGGGGAAAATCTTTTAGTCTTGTACTATTAAGTATGATATCAGCTCTGGGTTGTTCATAGACGCCCCTTTATAAGTTTGAAGAATTTCTCCTCTATTCCTAAGTTGAGTGTTTTTTATCAGGAAAGGGTATTAGATTTTGGTCAGGTTGCTTTTTGTGTGTCTGTTGAGATGATCATGTGGTTCTTGTCCTTTAGTTGTGTATACTTTTTTATTCAGTCATTTAATAAGCTTGCAGTGAGCATCTGCTATGTGCTGGAAATGCATAGATGACTACAGTCATTATTGTTGAGTTCTAGGACTAGGAAGAAAGACAGGAATGGTAAGTGCTTTGGCAGAGGGAAGTATAAGGAGCTGTAGGACTTTAACCCAGCCTCATGATGACTTGTGTCAGGGAAGGCTTTCTAGAAGACATGGCACATAGAGAATTGAATGAGTATAGCTGGGAGAATGTTGGTAGGTGGTACATTCTAAGCATGGAAGAGGCACTTGTGAAGTCATGGAAGCAGACATTGAAAACCTAATGAAACTCCTAAGCAGTTAAACTTTAAGTGGTAACCAATGAGAATGCTCTCTGTCTTGTGATGACAGGCAGCAGTTGAGAACTTTTAAGGAGAGCCCTTCAGAAGGCCTTCAGTTCCCACATAGGGGCAGTTCAGAAATAACCTTCGTGAGGACCCTCGGTGTCCATCGAAAGATGAATGGATAAAGAAGATGTGGTTTATGTTTACAATGGAATATTACTCAGCCATTAGAAACAACAAATACCCACCATTTGCTTCGATGTGGATGGAACTGGAGGGTATTATGCTGAGTGAAATAAGTCAATCAGAGAAGGACAAACATTTTATGGTCTCATTCATTTGGGGAATATAAAAAAATAGTGAAAGGGAATAAAGCGGAAAGGAGAAAAAAATGTGTGGGAAATATCAGAAAGGGAGACAGAACATGAAAGTCTCCTAACCCTGGGAAACAAACTAGGGGTGGTGGAAGGGGAGGTGGGCGGGGGGTGGGGGTGACTGGGTGAGGTGGGCACTTGACGGGATGAGCACTGGGTGTTATTCTATAGGTTGGCAAATTGAACACCAATAAAAAATAAATTTATAAAAAGAAAAAGAAATAACCTTCATGTATATAGGTCAAAGGCAGCAATTCATCTCATCAATTCATTCCTCTTTTCTGATTTGTCTTCTTTTGGATCACCTTCCAGCATCCGCACTTCCAACAATAGCCAAGTAAGTAAGCTGACCTTGTCAGGAAGTGACAGCGTGATCCTCCGTGATACAGCTGCCAATGGTGGCAGTGATGAAGAGGATGGACAGCCTCGGCGGGCTGTGGACAATGAGAAAGAAGGAGTGCAGTACAGCTACTTCTTATTCCACTTCATGCTTTCCTTGGCTTCTTTGTACATCATGATGACCCTGACCAGCTGGTACAGGTAGGAGGCACAGACAAATCAGATGGAAGACCACTTGGCCCCCTTGGGCTGTCTATAAAATCTCTATCCAATGCTTAACCTCAGAATCCCCTTCTCTTAACTATGTAATGAAATTGTGTTCAGTGCTCTTTTCTGAAATACTTTTGACTTTTTCTCCTCTTGGATTTAAAATCCGGTTGGAATTCTTACAGTACAAACCATGGAGGGTTCTTCCAGACTTGAGTTACTTAAGAGAGAAAATCATAAAGTAGTCTGATCCATCTTCACTAATTTTCCTCTGTGTCTTGAGATGGCCATATAGAGTATTCTGATCAAAGTGATGATGTGATACGGAAAGTTTCAGGGATGCCATTTCAATCTAGACTTTCCCAGTATCTAGAACAGGTAGGTGTTCCTGAAGAACTTTGCCCAGTGAACGCAGTAGTCAGTTCTTCATGCTGACAAGATAAGAGTTATTTGAGAGGCAGAGTCCCCTGCCTCTAATAATAGCAGCTTTCACAAGTTCCTTCTAGAACCTTACTAGAGTGTAATGTCAGCCAGTTTTCTTGGCTTTGGCTCAGGGGGGTGGTGGGTGCAGATAACCAGTTCTTTACCTGACTCTTTGTTTTCTTAGCCCGGACGCAGAGTTCCAGAGCATGACCAGCAAGTGGCCAGCCGTGTGGGTCAAGATCAGCTCCAGCTGGGTCTGCCTCCTCCTCTATGTCTGGACCCTTGTGGCTCCACTTGTCCTCACCAATCGTGACTTCAACTGAACCTCTGAGAATTCATAAAGGTCTGCTTTGCTGAAAGCCCATTATCTATTTTACTTTTGCTTCAACTAAAATATTAAGTGAACACTTTGCCAATTTGACTATATCCAGGTTTATATCAGAGGGGAAAATTAAGTAATGCTTGATGCAGGATCTGAACTTTTCATTTATATGTATATTATGTTTATTTGTAAGGATATAGTGCAAAGGGAACATTTTGCGTTTTAAAGTGAATTACAGCTGTGCTGTGAAGAGAGTTCTTTATTGACCTGTAGGATCCTACAACTTTGATTTAAAGTGTAAGAAAATGTTGGATATTTGAGGCCAATTGTTAATATATTTCTATTGCAGTATCCTTAAAAAGCAAACAAAAACAAAACAAAAAAAAAAAAACCCCACCATTTCTGTGATGGGTTTCCTTTGTGAAAATCTTCATGTGATGGAAGCACTGTGTTCAGTCCTTAATCCCCTACCAGGTGTAGCATCATAGTACTTGGGGGAAAGGGTGTGTGCATATGGGTCCTTCCCCAGAAAAGCAGGGTGGCTTATTTGGCTACTGCTTCTACAGCTTGAGTTTGTCCACTTAATGTTCTACACTACAGCAGTGATGCTGTGCAGTTCCAGCTTTGCCAGAAGTTTGTTTCCATAAGTGCTCTGTAGGTTTGGTTATAATGAAGATTCACTTGGGAAAACAGTGTGACTTCAGCCTATGTAATTACCTTGTTATGAGTATGTAAAAGTAAAATGCATGTGAATTTATTATATTTGCACTATAAAGGTATTTGATTAAAATAGAGACTTAAGCTTTTAAGGCCCGTTCTTTTACAGCTTTTATGAGTTAACAGCCATCCTGTAATTTTTAGACCGACATGGGTAGTCAGGTTTATCAAGCATCGAGCAGAGTGCACCTATCTCTTCTAAAATTTGAGGTCTGGCTAGTAAGTAGTCTTGAACTCATCCAAAAATTTTACTAATAATATCTTCCTTGGGCAAGACACTTGGTGCCAATGAGAGAAAAAGCAGGTGCTATCAGGAAACTTCTTCAGGAGAGGTAGCACACAAGGAGGTAGAATAGAACAGTTCTTCCAACAATCATTTACTGAGTCTCTCTCAGGTTCGGGGATCCAGCTTTAAACATAAGAGACACCAGTTCTGCCATCCTGGACTTCTGGTTTAGAGGGTAAAAATGAGCTGACAGGTGTACAACATGGTGTGATGACTGCTGTGATTGAGGAATTGCAGAGAACTCAAAGGAGAGTTGCCTGGGGTCACGAATTGGGGATTGTCCTGGTAGGCTCCCTGGAAAATGTGGAATTGAGGGCTAGGACTTAGGAGTTAGCTGAGAGAGAGATGGGGAAGTAGGGTGGCAAAACCGCATGTTCAAGAAGGGAGATGAGGGATCCCTGGGTGGCGCAGCGGTTTAGCGCCTGCCTTTGGCCCAGGGCGTGATCCTGGAGACCCGGGATCGAATCCCACGTCGGGCTCCCGGTGCATGGAGCCTGCTTCTCCCTCTGCCTATGTCTCTGCCTCTCTCTCTCTCTCTCTCTCTCTCTCTCTCTCTCTCTCTCTCTGTGTGTGACTATCATAAATAAATAAAAATTAAAAAAAAAGAAGGGAGATGAAAACTTGTTCAGGAAAGCTGGCATGGTGAGAAGAGGGCAGGGACTAGGTCATGAAGGGATTTGTAAACCACATTGAAGAGTTTGAACATTAATGTTGAGAGTAGTGGGGAGCGTGCACATAGTGACATGATCAGACGGTCTTCAGTCACTGCCACTGACAGGTAGACAGGGCATCTAGAAAGGAGACGGGGTGGGCCATATACCATTTCAAACGGCGAAGTGAAAATGAGGATGGGGGAAATTGACAGCTGAGAGCTACATAGTAAATTTTTTTTTAAGATTTTATTTATTTATGATAGGCACACAGTGAGAGAGCTTTAAAAAATAAAAGTTTTTATTTTTTCTCATAACTTTGATATTAATTTGAAAGAACAGATTTGAAAATTAGGGAGCAGTATCCCTGTTTGCTTGACTGTAAGCTGGCCTGGTGGTAGGAAACCCAGGATCACTCAAGACTCAAGAGAACCATACTAGCAAGTGTGCTGAGTTATACACAAGCGTAAATAACATCAGTTTGAGTAAGCCCAGAATCATACTTAAAATCAGGAGAGTATTTGGACTTACCAGACCTCATGGTCATGTCATCTCATTCCAGATAAGTCACCTGGTGTGTCATCACCATGAGCAGGCCCATCTGTCCCTCAGGATTGCAGAGTGATGGCCCTGGCTTTGAGATCAGGAATTCCTCAGAGGCAACAGCAGTGGCTGCCACTTTTCCTGGGTTTGAGCTGGGAGGAGGCTTGTAGGCCCACGTGGCCCCTGCTGGATGTTTACTCTCTAGATTGGTCTTGCAAGATACTTGGTTGGGAAATAAAAGTTTCTCTTACCTGCCAGAGAGTGGCCACGGGCCTGGTTATTGCTGCTTTTGGTGTTCTGGACCAAGCCAGAGCTCAGGCCTCACTTAAACCACCAGCACATGGTTTTGTCCATTACAAGTCCTTTTTCTTTTTATGTAGTCAAGCGAGAGTATTTGGTAACATGAGTCGTGCCCTTGAGCTCTGCAGATTGATGGTGGGTACCAGGCTTATCTTACCGAGAGCTGCTCATTGTTTTCTTCTTTCATGTTCTATCCACCCTGTTACCTAGGAGCCCAAACTAGGCAGCCTTCTGAGTGGTGTCCTAATTCCTGCTGAGTGGTGCAAGCTGCACACAGCCATCTCCTCAGGTGAAGAATAGTTACCATGAGACAGTGCACATGCCCAGCTGTGAATAGACACTGTCCATGCCCCTGGAAGGTGGTGATTCTTCTCCCTCTTTGACAGATCAGGCTGAGGCTGAGGAGGGACTTGCCCGTAGTTACTAAGAGGCAAAACATAGATAGAAACTAGGCTTTGAGTTCTTTTTTCAGTTAGACCCTACTGTCTCTTAGCATAAGGTTGTAGGCACCAAGATAACCAGAGACTGCTTAGAGATGTGTAGAGGAGTCACCTGGCTGTCAAACTACCCACCACCAAGGAGGGGAGATTAGTAATCCCCTGAAGGCAGTAACCAGCATCTGACTAGGTCACTGTATCTCTGGTAGCTGGCCACCTTATCAGGTAAACATTTGGTTAAAACAATTTGTTTCCAGAAAAGTGGCAACCCTAAAGGATTTTCTTCCTCACCAGCTTTAAATGCGGTAGCATGACACATTTGCTGCATCATTCTAGGTGGGGCCACATCCATGCTCTATGAGGAGTGGGCTTTGGGGAAAACAGGGAGAGTTATCTTAGACAGCAAACCAGAAAGTGTGGACTCCTAACATGGGAAGTAATTCCCACAGTTTGTAAAAAGCACCTGCTGATCCTTGTAACTCGACTGCACTGGTTGGGGCCATTAGTCCATTTTTTTCCAGATGTGAGAAATGTACTGAGTTTAGAGCCACAGCTTCCTTAGGAGGGTTCACCTGAAGAGCTGGTGTGCTGCAGTGTAAGAATTTACCTGTTGCATCATGGGAGGTCATTGGTAAGTGTACAGACATCCTACACAACTGTTTCCCAGCTGACCCATCACCAGCACACCACACCCACGGCAGGGCCTACCTTGTCTCCTTTGGGGCAGACTACATGCTCCTGCATCGAAACCAAAAGGGAGCAGGTAGAGAAAAGCCAAAGATGCATGGGACCAGAGTTGATCAAGCAACACCTAGTAATCCCTCGAAGGAGTCTGGGTTTACTTCTAAGTGCTTCCAGAATAAAGCCTGAGGTATAGCCTGGGTCTCAGAGGTTAAGAACCTGCACTTTATATTTTACAAGAAGCCAGAAATCAATCTGGAACCACCTTTCCTTTCTTCTGTGTTCTGTCCCAGAGTGAACGACAGTAAAAGGCAAACACAACCTGGCTCTAACCATCAGGAGAGCGGCTTTAGTCAGCTACCTGGCTTTGAAGCCCAACTCTACTGTTTGACTAGCTGTGCGTCCTTGGGCAAGCTGCTTAACTTCTCTGAGCCCCATTTGTCCCACAGGGGCAGTAATATTACTTAAGTGTGCTTAAAGATTAAATGAGGTTATCTATGTGAAGCACTTAATGTAGTGGGTGCCCAGCCCATACAAGCACTCAGGAATTCGAGGCCAGTCCAGAATGTACAGCTGGGCCTTAAGAACTGAAAAATTTGCATATCATCTCTACCACTGTGTACGTCAAGTGCCATTCTTTGTACACACTGGTATCTTCTAATTGCACACGATCTTCAGAGGTAGCCAGCCCCAAATCTATAGGTACACGGTGTTGCAACATCGCCTCTCTCTCCCGGACCTGGAGGGAGGCTCTGCACAGGCCATGATGTACCACAAATAATAAAACTTCAGTACCTTTATCCAAGTTGTCATTGTCACAAAAGAACTCCACACATAACCTTACAGGAATTTTTATTGTTTAAGACCCAGTCATGCATACTAAAATTACATGTTTTCACCACTTTGACGTAGAAAATGCACTAGAAAAATAAACTTTTGGTCAAAACAAACACTGAAGTAGATGAATCCACCACCATGTGTCGATCTACTCAAAGCTAAACTGAATTTCAGTTTGAAGTGAGGAATGTGACCAGTGGCTGAAATGAGGTACCAATCCGGTCAGAACATTAGCCCACCCTAATGGGAGTCATTAGCCCACCCTGTCAGAGCAGGATCAGAGGCTTTAAGCATTCCACCCATAACAGGTTACCACCTGATGTGCCAAGACATGGAGGCATATCCACAAGAACCCCAATGGCAGCTTTCTCCCCAGCTTAACGTGCTGCCCAATGAGACCAAGGACGAGCAGCCAGTTGGCAAACAGATTCATCACTAGCTTCTCCATCCACGAGTCACACTGGGCCTTCCAGTGGAGCAAGTCTTATAAGGAGGAATATTTGACTCTGACAATGCCTGTCACTTGCGTTTCAAGCAAACCAATACTGAGTCAGGAGAGCAGAAAGGAATTTACTTTAGATTTACAGAATTAACAGATCCCAATACTGAGAGACCTCACCAGACAGCCCTCTTTCCTAAACAGTTGAGATGTTTCTGTTTGGTATATGCACATTATCTCATGCCACAGAACAGCCACACTTGCATCATGACCTAAGCTAACACTTCACTTCCCAAATGAAAGAGGCTTCAAAGGAAAAACCTTAAAAAACTGAAAACTTGAAAATTAAGTATTATAATAAGACCACCACTGTGCCACAGCTTTTGCCTACCCAAATGGGAAAGTAATCCCACGACTGATATGACAATCTGGTGGCATTTAAGAGAAACTGCCCACTCTGGGAGAATTCAGAAAGACTCATTATCTCTCAGGAATTCTGGGAAAATACCTCTTCTTGTCCTTTCTGGCAAAAATGTATCTTACAAGCTGAAGTGTTTGTAAACCTCTAAGGACAAGTGGCTCCTTGTGAAAGCAAGATGAAGTATGGGGAAGCTAAAGCCACTTCTGCCAAAAAGCACATAAACTCCAGAGAGGATGCCAGAGTTGCACAGGTGCTTCCGTATGTTTCTCCCAGCCTCTCCTCTGTGAAGGAAGAATAGAATTCCAGGAAGAGGCACAATTTTCCAGATTCTGTGTAAAGAGCAGAGGAGGAAGAAAATCCCCAGATTACTACCTAAGCTTACAGATTTCATTTGGGAGCTTCAGATGTCAATTCAGACTTACATTTTCTGTAAAATAACCCAGATCGGGGGTGGGGGAAGGAAGAAGGCCTCTAAATGGTAGAGTACAATGTCCCTGTGGCAAGGAAGCCAAATGATGCCTAAAATACAGGGTTCAGAACTCAGAGCAGAGACCCTTTTATCATGCGATTCAGGGGGTTGTTCAGTGGCTCATCCAAGGTCACATAGCAGTGTAAAGCCAGAACTCTCAGGTCCCCTGGATACTATCCCTTTCCCTTTCCTATACCACAGTACCCTGAATTTAAGGAAGTTACTTTTTAGATGTTTGTGAAATGGGCCAGAACTTTCCCCTGAAGGAAGACCCTCCCAGTTCTCCTAATGTTCACTTGTTTGCCCCATCAGTGTACTCCCACTACTGAGGCTCACTGTGTGCTCCTTTGGTCATTCCCCCACCCCGCGGCAGTGACTCTACAGAGATCCGGTGAAGCCACACAGAAATGGCCTTGATTTTCACCCAGGGAGGTCCTGCTTTCACAGCTTGATTCAAACCTCTGAGGTGTCAGAACTATTTGATCTCTCTTTGGAACCAAAATAAAGCACAGCGGCTGCAGAAGGCAGACACATCTGGGCTCTGACTCCTTTCAGAAGCTGAATGCATCGGCTCCTTGGGCCAACTGGAAAGTCCTAGGAAGTGGGCAACATCCTGGTCTTGGGAGATACTTGTCTCAGTGAGCTTAAACACACGTAAGCTTTAAAGTCCAACAGACACGGGCAAAACCAGCCAGGAATGCAGTGCAGAGTAGAGTGTAAACTGGGGAAAGTCTGTGGGGCTGAACAGTTCATGCCTCCCTCCATCTAGCTTGGCAGCAGTGGTTGTTTTTCAATGTTTTCTCTTTGAGGCCTAAGAATGCTTCTAACCAGTTCCCACATCCAAGCAGTTGGGTTCTGAACCTTCTACTATAGCTGTCCTACTCGTGCTATTTAGATCTTTCCAGCCTTGCTGGTCACGCTGTCATTGGCAGATGGACCTGGAGGCTGCCAGGGGTCTGCGTGTTGGTACTTCCAGCTCTGCCAGGTCCCTAGAGGGGATCCAGGGTTAGTATCTACGGTGAAGAGCCGTCCCTGGAATTGGCACTAATGAGGTGAATCGTTTCCACCACCAACTTCTCCAGATATTTGAAACAGTACTATGAAGATGCAGAGCTTATTAACAATAGACTGGCCTTTGCATTTCAGAGCACCGTCCTCTTCCTAACTGAGCTGTTTTTTGTTCCCTTGCCTGGTGGTCTCATAAATGCACAGAGAACGTACTTACACAACACACTGTACTTGTTGTTGCTTTTTATCACTGTAATTTTCAAGGAATGAATACGAAAGGAAACAGGTCAAATGCCACCAGATGAACCACCTAGTTAGATGCTTGGGCTAAGGCTAACGTTTTGACAGGAAGGGTCTAAAGTGCTGAAACGCAGAACTAACGTTCGGACTTGCTGGCTAAAGTCTGTCCACCCACATCAGAGAAAGAAACAAGCATGTCTGGGAGGACTAGGGTCCCAGAAGTGATCCAGCAATAACTCTTGCATTTGTTTCTAGAGACCAAAATTTAAGAATCCCAAGTAACTTAGCCATTCCCCGCTGCTGGGTTTCCAGTGTCCCGCCAGAGCCTCAGGGATAGAAGGAATTCACACGAACCCTGGTCATCTCACCTGCCATTGTCCAGTTCAACCCTCCCTACAAAAAGGAAGTTGGTTATCAGCAGGTCCCAAGAATATAGATACTACTTTCCTTTTTAAAGGTAGGCCAGATGGTGACATGTGCCTCTTGGAAAGGCCCAGATGTACCACAAAAAAAAGTAGGATCACACTTGCCTCTAGAGAGCCATTATTCTGGGCAGAAAACCAATGTCTGGCATTTAGTAACTAAACCAAATTCTCAAACATCAGCAGCCAAAGCCCCCGGCATCATTTCATCCAGCTTCATTTTACAGATGAGAAAGGAGAGGCCCACAGAGGCCCAGGTCTTATCCACAGTCACACTTCTGGAGCTGGAGTCCTGGTCTCTTCATTCTTGGGCCAGAATTCTTTTAGCTACTCAGGCCTGGCATGTGGCATTTTAGGTTGAGTAAAATCACATACCTCTAGGATCCTTTATAATTTTATTGAGAACCAGGGCTAAGGCTTTATGGGTTTGGGAAACCTTCAATTTCTATTGCAAGAGTCAACCAATGAATCTCAGAAGTGCTTTGAAGTCTCTGGCTCCCAAATTTGATAAGGAAGTGCTACTTATGTCCTGATGCTCCCATAATTCAATTAAGGTGCTTTCCAAACCCAGTGATGGCAGCTGGGGCCTGGTCCTCAAACTAGAAATCTCCTGATGAGCAACAGAGGTCTGTAGTTAGGAATCAGGTGAAAGACACAAACTCCAGAAGTCTCCTCTGAGGCCACCTTGGAGACTCGGCCAGGTTCTTTCTTAGGAGTGTGCTGACTGGCCAGTCAGGTGGTTTTCTTCTGGAATGTGGGACAAAAGTGACTTTGGTCCTGATTTTTCTTGTTCCAAGATCTCTAAGAACCAGACATAGCTTCCAGATTGATGGTTGCCAACTGGGATTCCAAACGTTTGAGAATCACTGGGACCATTTTCCATGTCTTCCAAGGATTAATTCCAATAACGAAGGCCTTACTCCATGGCTCACTTTCAGAGCTGTACAGGCTGCAATTTAATTACAAGGAGCAAGACTGACTCACGGGCACCTCAGATTCTCCTTGCGCCTCTCCAGAGAAAAAGGAAAGGATTTAAAGATGGTGGCACTCACAGGGGACTGGTTAGTAGCAGGAGTACAGCTGTGATTTCACGGCCCGCAGGGAATCGTCACATTGCGCATCTGAGGCTAGCCCCTCCGGCGGCAGGGCCTGGCCCAGGATGCTGTCGCAGACAGAGACAGGTGGGCAGAACTCCCTCACAAAGTCCTCCTCTGAGGCCAGGAGCACGGCATTCCAGGCGGTGATGTCCAGCTCTCCAGCCGTGCCACCATACTCCTTGGGGAGAATGCTTCTTGGAAGGTTTGTGTGGAGAGAGTTCAGGTCAGACCCATGGAGGAAAAACTGAAGGGGAAATGGAAACACGTGTCCTCAGGTTAATCAGGATCAGTAACCTGCAAGGCAGGCAGGTGCTCTAACACCTGCTGAATGAATGAAGGAGCAGCTGATGGCAACCTGACCCTTCCAGTTCCTCGAAGACCTTGAGGATCCTTAATTCCCTTCCCGTGCTGTTGGCTGGTCCTTCAGAATACAGCCAGATGCAACCACTCTGCTGCCTGCCTCACGGAACCCTGGAACCATGCCGCCGCTGCCACTTCTCCCCTGGGTTCTCACGACAGCCTCACACTGGCCTCCCTGCTCACAGCCTGTTTCACGCTCAGATCGTGCCAACTCCTTTCTGTACAGCCTGCCAGTGCTCCCGCCTCACACGCACTAGGAGCCAAAGTCCGCACACTGGGCCATAGGGCCTGTCACAGTCTGGCCCCCGCTGCTCCTCTCTTCCCCTCCTCCCACTTCCCTCTGCTGCTGCTCCAGCATGTCCAATGTGCTCCCACCTCAGGCCAGTACCGTAGCTGCTGGTCTCAGATATCTGAGAGCTCATGCTCTCGCCTCTTCCCAGTCTTTGCTTAAAGGCCAGCTTCTCAGCGACGCCCCAGCTTTAATCCTGTGCTACAGTCCCGTGCCCCTGCTCTGTACTGTCCCCTTTCTCTGCTTAATTTTTCTGCACAGCACTTAGCATATCTTAATACTAGATCACATATATCCACTGTCTGTTTCTATCTAGAATGTAAGCTCCCCTGGGGGCAGAGATTTTGGTCTATATTGCTCATCTAGAACGTACTTGTAAACACAGTAGTTTAATGGATATATATATTTTTTTAATGGAAAGTTTGTACTTTTTTTTTTTTTTAAAGATTTATTTATTTATTCAGAAAGAGAGAGGCAGAGACATAGGCAGAGGGAGAAGCAGGCTCCATGCAGGGAACCTGACGTGGGACTCGATCCCAAGACTCCAGGATCACACCCCGGGCTGCAGGCAGCGCTAAACCGCTGCGCCACTGGGGCTGCCCTTTAATGGATATTTTTGAATGAATGAATGAACATATGAAGGATGAAATGAACAAGATTATGGACCACAAATAAGGTCATTTCATAGATATAATGAGGCCTGTTCCAAAGACTGCTTTGACTTTAAGAGCAGGTTCCAAACAGGATCTTCAGGTACTAAGATAGGTTCAAACCCAGGCAGGGATGCCACTAACTTAGCAATTCTCAAACCGGACTGTGCATCAGAATCACAGATTCTGATTTTAAGATTTTAAAATCACACTCCTGGGCTCCACCCCTAGACTGGAGTTAAAATTTTCAGGGAAAGGGCCTGGGAATCTAAATTTGATTTTTTTTTTTTTTTAAGATTTTAAGTAATCTCTCTACCCAACATGGGGCTTGAACTTACAGCCCTGAGATCAATGGCATGTTCCACCAACTGAGCCACCCAGGCACCCATCTGTATTTTAAATTCCTTCCCTTGCAACCTTGAGATTCTGTTTTCTCTTTGAAAAAGAGTACAAAATCCAAGACCCGGTCTTTGGAGGGACCATGATGTTCCTAGGCCTAGAGGAGGAGGAGAAAAATACCATCCATTACATGCAACCATGGTACCTAGCAAAGGCTGAGTGAGGAATGGCTCTTCTAGGTCACAGAGGAAGACCATCCTTCAAGGGCCATCTGTCCTTTCTTAAATAACGGGTAGGCTAAAACTCACTTATCTCATAAACCTTGAAATATTCCACAAACCTGATACATGAGAAAATAAACTAGGTAAATAGAAGAGCTTAAAAATTACGTTTTTAAGCCCCAAGGAGCTGTGGTAAGAAATCACTATAACTTTTTAACTACCTGCCCAATACTACCCTTCTCCCTGTCCTCTTATATAGGAAATACAATGTTGGTTCACAGTGCCCAGGCCAGGATATTGAAGAGCCAAAATGACACATAGCATTTTAACTCTTAGAACTGCCTGCCTCCCTGCTCTCTCCACTGTCACATATTATGGTCCTATTAATTTTATTTTCCTTTCACAGAAAAGATCATTTATTTTATCTGTAAATCTGTTCTTTCCAAATTAATCATCCCAGGGCAAAAATAATAAACTAAGAGAAGTTTATTGATGTCACAGGGGAGTAAAAAAAAAGAAGTATCAAGTTAAAAGAATCATCACTTACTCTGTTTGCTATTTTCTCCTTCAGAAATGGTTTTATGATGGCAAAAATGCCTTTAAATATTCGAGGTTCATTCACTACATGGACTGCTTTTATCCGAATGGGGAAGCCATCCTGTAGGAGAAGGGAAGGAGATGTTAGAACATGTGGGAGGCACTCACAGGCTGTTTCCACAGTCTGCCTCCCTCCTTTAAATCTTCTTTAGGCCTCCATATCAGTTTGCTCTGATTCTCATGGCCTCCTCCAAGACAGCTCAAGTGGGGGCTAACCTGGAAGACAAGACTCAGAGAGAGGGTCTTTCTTGGGGCAAACAAGTGGAGAGCTGCTCCTCTTATGGCAAAGGAAAAAAAAAAAAAAAAGGTTGGAGCCTGTGTGGATGGATCTAACAAACATCGGACCTTCAGGACTGGTGTTGCCAAACGGTATTTCTCAGGATTGTACTAGGTGTGATGCAAAAAAGGTTCCATGGTAGGTAAATAAGTTTGAGAACAGCATGCTGTATATAGTCATACAGGTGTCCTTAACCACAGGACTGTCATATGCAAATGTTTACAGTCACATTTTCAAGAAAGGGACATACTATGCCACATCTCCCAGACCTATCTAGCCCTGGAGATTTTTCCCCTCAGATCACCTTAGAAGACTAGAAAACACTGATCCAAACTCACTATCCTAACACTTTAATCTATGCAGTACTTAGCAGGGTAGTAAAAGAAGAGTGGAAGCAAAGGAAAGCCAGAGTATTAGCTCCACATTTCTGATAATGACCAAATGCAACGCTGATGTTTAAATAATCAACCTGGCACCCAGTGCGGGCTCACACACGTTGTGGGATTCACAAAGGAAACTTTTCTTTGGTGCCCTACAGCTCGCAAGGGACAGTACCTGTGGGCTGGTCAGAGGGAACAGGGAGCTGAAACTGTTAGAGACCTGAGACTCAGGCCATGCTACCCCTGCAAGGGCTGTGTCCCCAGCCACCAAAAAGGAAAAGGGATTCATGCTCACTTCAGCAGCACATATACTAAAAAGGAAAAATAAATTTTGCCTTGTAGGATTGAATGAGTTATGACAACTATAAAAGCACTTTGCAAACTGTTGAACATTGTGCACATATGGAACTTCTGGTTCCCTGCACTTGTGGTGGTTGTTTTGTTTTGTTTTGGTGGGCAGCAAAGCAAGGTTTACTGAGCAATAGCAAAGTGATAGTACAAAGCTCCTGAAGAGGGAGGGGACCCAAGAGGGTTGCCCCCCACTATGTTCTAAAACACAGAACACGGGGTACCTGGGTGGCTGACTCAGTTAAGCATCTGACTCTTGATTTCAGCTCAGATCATTATCTCAGGGTTGTGAGATTGAGCCCTGCCTCAGGCTCCACACTGGGGGTGGAGTCTACCTCAGATTCTCTCCCCCTCTGTCCTACCCCCATGCACATATGTACACTCTCTTTCTCTCTCTCTAAAAATAATAATACATAACACACGAGATACGAAAGCATCTGTCCAAAATAATCTGATAGGATCCCCATCCTGAGGTCCCAGAGGGCAGGATCTATCTAACACGTCAGAAACACAAATTCTCAGTTTCATTGGTTAGAATTGTTCCCCTGTCTTCTGGAGAAGGAAACAACAAAAATGAGCAGAAACTATTTCTCTGGTTGTTTGAGCTCTTGCCCTAAAGCTGATCTTGTCCAGACTGAAGGGACCTTAGAAACTACTGGAGAACCTGCTGAGAATGAATGGTAAATAGGACATTTGCGTTTCTTCCCATAATGCTGTTGTATCTTTCAGACTGTAGGCATGAGAAGTGAGGTTTGTGTATCATGTGGGACCTGCGGTAAACAGACAGGGCCCTGGGGAAAGCCAAAACCACCACAAAACAGGCACACGACAAACAGGGGCCATACCTGAAGGATGCCAATCACCTTTTTGGCTATAAAAGGGCCAAAGTGAGATGCTTTTGATAAGCTCACTCCCTTGTAGTCTGCAAGAATTACAATTCCATTCACCTGGGTTTCTTCAGACTGAATGAGTTTTTCTAATGTCAAGTATATGGCTCGGATGTTTTCGGTAATTGGATAGTTGCTCGGTATCCATCTGTCTGAGGTCATAAGAAATGGACAGAATGTTACAGAGATGAATACAAAACAAGTAATCACAGGCTAAGATTTATCTCCTTGCTCGAACTCTTATTTAAAAAATGGGAAGAAAGCTACTCTACTGGCATGGCTCTATTTAGGTTAGTAAATGGGACACCTTAGCAGCAGCTGATGTTAATTCTAAATGCAGCAGCACATTTGGAAATGGGAATGCAAGCGAGTGCTGGAGTTAAAAGCCTGAGCTCTGAAGTCAGATACACACGGAAGGGGGGTGTGTGTGTTGAATCTTACTAGCTGTGTGAGTTACCTCCTCACTCTGAGCCCACATCTCCTCAGAAGAAGAATAAGCTAGTAATACCTTAATGGATATCTAATTACATCAGATTTTCATACCACCGCCCTGAGCCACCTCTTCCCACGTTAGCCTCACACTTTGGGTACCACTGACCTGCCTCCTGGCTGCAGAGATGGGCGTGGTCAGTGGGGGTCGACAACATCCTGGCTACTGTGTGATCCAAGCCAGATCAAACAGAGCCAAGGGGACTCAATTCTTCGACCATGGCCCTTTGGAGAGAAGAGATCCCTCTCCCCTCTTGTAGTGGTGAGGCTAGGAGCCTGAGACTCTGGGGCCCCAAGTGACAAGAGCTGGCCTGAAAATGAAGTATGTGTCAAGGAAGGCAGGGATGGAGATGGCTTTCCAGTCTGTGCTTTGTGCTATATCCCCTTTCCGGGCCAGACGTTCTCTTAGTATTGCCCATATGTTTAAAGGAGTCCTTCCTTTCTCTGGGAAGAAGATGGAAATGACAACTTTTGACTGTTAACCGCTGTTCTCAAGAAAATTCCACCAACCTGTGTGTCCTTTTCTTAGGACGATAAAATTCCACATGACTGCCACCACCAAGGGGATATGTAATATGTGCAAAATTCCTATGAAAAATAATCTTTGTCCAAAAGCTGTGCCAGCTTGCTACTGAATGTTGCTGCCAACCAAACCTGCTTCTACATAACCGGATGTCTTCCTTTTCAATAACATATGTCCCAAAAGAGGCAAAGCTAATACCCAGTTGAGAACAAAACCATCTCAGTATGCCTCCTCCTAAGTTGCGTTGGTAGGGAGGGGTCTAGCTGCTCCAGACACATGGGGGAAAAATTCATCTCACAAGCAAAAGGCTGAAACTGTGCAAGCAAAGGTTTGAAACCACACAGGCAAAGAGGTGAAACCAGGGTGCTAGTCTGTTTTGTAAATCCTTATGAATCCAGTACAGAGAAGTAGCAGAAAAAAACCTGCTGATTGGTTCCTAGGTCTCCTGGTGCCCTAAAATCTCCACCACATTGCCTGTTTTAAAATAAACAACCCTAATTTTGGAAAGTGCCTAAAACAGCAGGTAAATCAGTTAGTTAACATTGTGCCTGGTACACAGTAAAGGCTCAGGAGGATGGTTTAGTCTCCAAAAAGGGTTTGGCAATTGACCAAAGCACATGGCAATGCGAACCTTAAAGGCAGAGAGGAAAGTGCAGGGAGGTGTCCACTGCCTGACAGACATCCCTTCAAGAGGAGTATGTGAGCAAAGGAGGGATGCCAGCGGGCCCTCTCCTGCTCCTGGCTTGGCAGGGAAAAACACTGCGATCTTACTTTCAAATTTTGTCTCTGCTCTGGCCTGACAGATTTTTAAGGCCGTGGGGGTTGGAGTCTAGTGGACAACACTCTTGAGTTTATAGCATATTTGGTGCCCCTAATTAAAAGCACTGCCAAGGAAATGTAAGATGTCCTCATTACCAACAGTAAGTGCTGAGATGGAAAAGTGAATCTAAAGTGAATCAGTGGCTTAACAAAGTAGAGGAAAGGAGGGAGAGGAGGAAGAGACACACAATGAATTGTCACCTTTCTGGTCATCTGCCCAGCCCCCCAGATGCCTGCCTCACCTCCTCGCAAAGGAGGGAGCTTGCTTGTACCCTCTGACCAGGGCAGGACTTTGCACGGAGGAACTTGGCTGGGTAGCCCAGGAAGCCTGCACACTAGGGGGTACAAGATCTTGACAGGTGCAAAGCGGTGGCGAAAGCCAGTCTCCAGGAAAAAGAGCAAGGAAGATATACACAGGACAGCAGAAACGTGTGGCCTAAGCAGATACGCAGACAGAAGCAGAGACAGGGAGAATGGGTGGATTAGTTCCTGATGGGGGGACGAAGTGGATGCTGGTTTTGGGGTCCAGGAGCCCCAGGAAAGATGCTACACTTCGAGCTCGCTGCTTCTGAGGGATGCTCCTGTTTCTTTAACTCCTCCCTTTTCTCCTAGGCCAGGCTGAGTAGCTTTTTGTCATTTGTAACCAGAAGAGCTTTGACTCCAAAGGGGAGGGGGCTGAAAGGGAAAGGCAAGGGACAGACGGGGTGCTGGGCACGTGCATTCCACACATAGGTGGGCACGCAGGCAGGTACCTGCGGCCCAGCCAGGGCAATACCTGGGCGGATGCACAGGATGTGGCAGCCTCGGGGGTCGGTGTGGGGCAGCACAGTGAGGAATCCGGAAGCGAGGACATCCTTTAAGGCCGAGGGCTTCAGGTTGTTGAAGACTTCGGGCCAGCTTCTCCTGCAGCTGTGGTAGTTGACCAGCAGCTGTAGGGCCCGGTCGTAATCGAACTTGCGGGCGCGGAGGAAGCGCAGGAGGAAGGCATCGTCCAGAGAGGTGCTCAGGGTCGGGCACTCCTTCCGCACCATGTCACGGAGGGCCTGCACATCTCGGAGCCTCCATTCCGGCTTCTCCTGCAGCTCTTCCCTGGCTTTGGTGACCAGCTCCTCTGTCAGCGAGCACACGTAGCCGGGAGGCTCGGGCGGGGGCGGCAGCTCATTTTCCGAGAGTGAGGCCGCAGAGGGGCTGGTTCGCAGAGAGTCACTTTCTTCTGACATTAGCTACCAGGATCCCTGCCAACACACAAACCCCGAGCCAAGTGAACGAAGCCCGGCACTGCTCTTCTCAAGGGCAGCATGATGTGGAGGGGTGGGGGTGGTGGGCAGGTGCACTTTTGTCAGAGCGGCGGTTCTCAGCTGGGGGAATGAAGTGGATCTGGACCACAGGGCCAGGTCCCACCCCCGACCGAATGAAGTGAAAATCCCCACCAAGGCACCCAGGCAACTGCAGTGGGACACGCACACACTCCTCAGGCAACGCCGTGGCCTTCTGTACAGAGATAGGCTGCTCGACCTACTTGTAATTAAACGTGAGCTAAAACAACTCAAAGTCATATTGGCAAAAATACAAAATGGGTGATGTGCTTTCTGTTGGGCAGAGAATAAACTGGCATAGCCTCATCGGAGGGCAGTTTGTCGCTATCTATCAAACTTTAAAACCACACACCCGGTGGCTCAGCATCTCATTTCAAGGGCATATACTTGTACATGTGCACAAAATATACACACAAGGACAATTACTTCAAGTATTGGTTATGATGGGAAAAGACAGGGAACACTTTAACTGCATACCAGCTGGAGACTGGTTAAATGATATTATCCTAACAATGGGATACTAGGGGAAGATGTTTATGAACTGACACACTAAGAAAAAGAAAGCAACTTGCAGGACAGTGGGCACAGAATTACCTTATTTATATTTTTAAAATCTACACCTATATATTGAGCGCACCTATTCTGGAAGGAAATATAAGAAAATCGTTACCAGTGGTTCCCTCTAGGGAAGAGTACTGGATAACTGGACATTTAAGTAGGGAGACTTTTTACTATACTTTTTTTTTTTTTTTTTACCATATACATATATGACTTATGATGGCTGTGAAACAAGGCTGATTGACGCTCACACAGGAATGGAGCATAACTGACAGGATGGCCCCAGCTGCCATCCCTCTGGATCCACCATCCAGTGGATGTCACCCTTTCCCCAGTCAATGACTGAGTGAAATGTGGGCCTCCACTAACAGGCAACTTTACCTCGAGGTTCAGCCTGAACCTGCCATGGAACTGCCCTACCGTCCACGACTCCCTGCCCAAACCTCCTTCCCTGGAGAGCTGAGCTCCTACTGGAGTCTGAAGGCTCTCCCTGACTTCTGCAGATTCCCCTCCTTTTATGCTTCACAGGTGCTGCCTCCAGTTCATTCCTTGCATGTCTAATCTCATCCTAGTGTCTGTTTCTTGGAAGAGCAGAACACATTTATTGAATAAAAAAACAAAACCAAAAACAGCTGCTTTAGATATTCCAGGAGTAAGGCAGTAGCAGCTGTCCAGTCCCAAAGCCCAAGCTCCTGTCCACAGACTACCACTGGTCCCTGACTCTGAGCTCAAAGAGAGCAGGGACCATCTCAGGGGTCTCTGCATGTAGCTGGTGACCAGGTCACTCCCCCAAAACCGTCGTCTTGCCCACTCCGTTCCTTGCATTCTAACCTCCAGCCCCACCCAGCTGCTTTCAGTTCCTCCCAAAGCTGTGTTTTCTTATCTTGTTCACATCCTGTTTCCTCTAGCAAGCTTGTTCTTCACCTGACCAATACTGATTCATCCGAAAGTCCCAGTTAGATGCCACTTCATGCATTCAACAAACATGGAGGACTTACTGTGTACCAGGTCCTCTTCCAGGCACTAAAGATATATACATCAGTGAACAACAACAACAAAAAAATTATGCCTGTGTTGAACTTAGATTCGTGGGAGAGCCAGGCTATAAGCAAGAAAAAAACTATAGTCTACCAGATGAAAGTGCTAGGGGGAGAAATAAAGCAGGGTAGAGGGTTTGGAGGTACCTGGGAATAGGGATTGAAATTTTAAATAGGGTGGTCAGGGATGATTTGTTCACCCAAATGACATTTGAGGAGAGATGAAGGAGATGAGGGAGTAAGGCCATGCAGATATCTGGGAGAACAAGGGCAAAGCCAGAGGCAAGAACACGCCCGCCAGTATGGAGGCCAGTGTGTGGCTACAGCCAAATGAACAAGGTGGAGAATATTAGCAGATGCGTTGACAGAGATACCGGGAGCCCCATTGATACAGGGCTTTGTAGGCCAGTAAGAACTCTTTTATTGAGTTTGGTGGAAGCCATCTGAGAAGAGTGACACGGTCTGATTTCTATTTTACAGGATTGCTCGTCTGTCTTGCAAATGGATTGTAAGGGGTTAAGGACAGAAGTAGAGACTATTCAGAAGGTGCTGCAGTAAGCCAGGTAAGAGATGATGGTGCTTGACGCAGGACGCCTTCTCCAACTCCAGGCCAGGGGTAGGAGCCTCCCCACCAGAAGCTCCTTGGCAGAGCACGCTCCCTCTGTTCTAATTGTCTGTAGGCAATCTGCCGGCAGCATCTTTATCTGTCTGGTTCGTCGCCTTAAACCCAGTGCCTAACAACGTGTCAGACGGGTAGACTGCGCTCCATGAATATTTGCTGAATGAGCTGGAACCGCCTGGCGGAGGAATGCTAAGCGAGGCATGAAACCACGATCACGGTTCAGGGACCCACCCTGGGCTGTTTCCACGGGAGGCACCGACAGATGCCTGTAATCCCAATCCAGTGCTTACCTGGGAAACAGACTGTAGTGTCCAGTGGCTATAGGCCTAGCCTGGCACATGACGGTGCTCTGTGAATATTAGCGGACGATGGGAGGTTAAGTGACGGGCCGGAGGGTACACACCTAGGGCGGCACCGCGTGGATGTGCGTGGCCCCACACTGGGCTTCGCCCTCCGCCTGGAGCCTCCTGTGTAATCTCCAGGGCAGGGCAGTCTGGAGCGTCAGGTGATGGGTGGGCGTAGGGACCGTGCAAACACCGTTGGTTACGGTGAAGCCTGGAACCTCCCCCGCCTGGAGCCCGTCACGTCGCGGGCATCGCCCTCCTCCCCGCCCCGCCTCGCGGAGGCCAGGAAGCCGGCCCCCCGGAGCCCCGAGCCCCCGCGTCCCGCCGACCACCTTCTGAGGCCCCCCACTTCCGGCTGTCACCCCTTCCCCAGCGTCCCCATTTCCTGGGGTCTCTCTCCTTGAGTCCTCCAACTTCCGGTGATCCCTCCCTCTCGGGGGTCCCTCTCCCCGACCCCCCTGACACAGGGGCGGCCTCGCGGGCACTCACCGGCCCGGCTATACGGGGCGGAGCGCGGGTCTAGCGGCAGTGGGAGCCTCGTCCGGCAGCGCGCACAGAGCCGACCCGCACTCCCGGCCCGGCCGGCCCGGCCCCTCGCGCCGGAAGTGACGTGCGCGGGGCGTGGGAAGGCGCGGCGCCGCCCGCGAGTGCGCATGTGCACCTTCCCGCCGCAGTGCCGGCCCTCGGGCCCCACCTAGCGGCCGGGCCTGCGCGCTGGCGGGGTCGGGCGTGCGGAGAGGGGAGTTGGCCGGATCCGGGAGCCCGGGAGGCTTCGGGTGGTACAGAGGCGGGAAATGAGACCCCGAGGAAGAAGGCGAGAAACTGCGGCTTCAGGACATCCCACGTGCGCCCGCGGCTTTGCATGCACTGCCTCACTCGATCCTATTTATGGAGCCCCCCTATGTCATGGAAGGGAAATTGGCAAGCAGTGAAGTATAAGGGGCTTCCAACCTGGACTTGGGGATTAGCACATGGGGAGATGCCCGTCCGGCGGACGTCGGTCTGTCTCCAGCTCAGTGACCGCAGGCCTCAGGGTCCTCATGTGCAACACGATTCTGGCTTTGAAAATCACCCTCTTGAGTAATGACTGTGTCCTGCTTTGGGCTCATCAAGTCCCCTTCAGAAAGTGGTAGCTTGAAAAAGGTGTTCCTGCCCCACCCCCACCCCAGCCCCACCAGCCCCACACCTCCCGCCCCAACAGACGTGTTATTATTACGCAACCAAGACTTTGAGACAAAGCCCCTGGGTGGCTCTTTCGAGCGGAGCAAAGACACGAATCTGTAGAGAGAAATTCTGTGTCTGGGAGGACCGAGAGCCCAAAGGTGCATCCAAGAGATGACTTTAAACAACCCCTTCCTTTCCCAACCCCAGGGGGCGAGAGGAGCCCTGGAGGATGGGAACTGACCCACGAAGGCCATGGGAACATGGCAATTTCTGCTGGATCCCAGATTGTTGGGGAAAGTGGAAGAGCCATGAAGTCATAAGTTTTGACTCCTGCTCTGGCTCCACCATTTCTAGGATAGAATACGGAGCACTCAGTTAAATCTGAATTTCAAATAAACAGCAATTTCTTTTTAAGTGTAAGTATGTCTCCTGCGACATTTGGGATAGACTTACACTAAAAACCGTATCTTTTTTTTTTTTTTTTTTTTTTATGCAGGACTCATTCCCAGGACCCCAGGATCATGACCTGAGCCAAAGGTAGACACTCAACCACTGAGCCACCCAGGCATCCCCAGAAATTCAAATTTAACTGGACACCCTGTGTTTTGTTTGAGTCCCCCTCCCCCCCAGTCTATCTACGTATTAGTTTCCTATTGCTGCTGTAACAAATTACTACAAATGTAATGACTTGAAACAATACAGATTTATTATCTTACAGTTCTGCAGGTCAGAAGTCTAAAATCAAGGTGTTGACAAAGATGTATTCTCTCTGGGGACTTAAAGAGGGGATCCGTTCCTTTGCCTTTTCAGCTTCTAGAGGCCACTCGCATTTCACAGCTCATAGCTCATTCCTCAAATCACTTCAACCTCTTACTTTTGTTAGCACATCTACTACTGACTCCGATCTTCCTGTGTCCCTCTTTTATATTAAAAAAAATTTTTTTCTTGTGGCAAGAGCACTTAACATGAGATCTACCCTCTTAACAAATTTTTAAGTGTACAATACATTATTGTTGACTACAGATACACCATGTCCTGCCTGCCTCTTATTATAAGGACTCTTGTGATTACATTAGATCTGCCCGGATAATCTAGGATTATCTTCCCCATCTCAAGATCCTTAACTTAGTCACATCTTCAAAGTTCTTTTTATCATATACGATAAGATAGTAACAGGCTCCGGAGATTACCACAGAGATATCTTTGGGGTGTCATTATTCCACCTACCACAATCTGGCATACCACAACTATGTGACCATAGCCAAATCACTCAAATTTCCAAAGCCTCTAGTTCCCCATGAGCAAAAAGCTGATTAAATAAGCTCATAAGAGGAAACACCTTGCCCCTCGCCAGGCAAACCGTATTTTTACAAATGGCAGCTCTCATGGCAAAGGGCAAGGAATGATCCTTTCCAGACCATGGTGTCCTAGTTATTTGAATAAACTTCACCCAGACCCTAGACCCACTGGTGGTACCATCAGGTTGCAATCCCAGATACTGCCAGCAGGAGGAGAAGAATATAGGTCTAGAACCTGGTCTCAAGGGCAGGGGAGGGTTGAGAGGAGATTCAAAGATGCCCAGAAGTCCCTGCCCCTTCCCTCAATTGAGGGCCATTATTTTTGGGTCTTCCTGATGTTACATATCATGGAACTAAGTTATCTTAGGATTATAAGAGTCTCAGATAATCAAAAATGTTTTCATTTTTTGAGGGATTATATACACCAGGTACTATGCTAAATAATTTGTTTGTATGATTTCAATTATACCTTGCTACAACCCTGTGAACAGGAAGCTAGGATTGTCTCATGTACAGATGGGAAAACTGAAACCCAGAAAGGGAAAGTCACTTACCTAGGGGCTCAAGATAGTCAAAGAAAGAGCTGGCTTTGAACCCAAGTCTGTATGACAACACGGCCCCAACTTTTACTTTGGTTTAGAGGTTACTTTGCCTCTTTGTTCTTACAGGTTGAGAAGCGGCTCGGAGGAGGAAAAGAAGTTGCCCATGGTCACATGATGACTCCAAGATTGAGCTGCAGTTTGAACTTCTGTCTTACTTTTCTGCACTGGATACTCAGAAGTAACACACTCAGAACTACCCCTCAAAACATCCATTTCCAAAAAAAAAAAAAAAAAAACATCCATTTCCTTGTGGGCAAAATGGGGGTATGTGTCTCATTGTCTAGGGGGTCCTTAGAAGGATTCAGTAGAATGGTGTGTGCAGAGTTCTGGTACATTGGATCATGACATGTCTGTTAACTCGTGATGACCACCCCACTTGAGAGCAGAAAGGTAGCTGGAGGGAGGGCAGCTTGCCCTGCATCTTGGTTTGGAGGACTCCTAGCATCCCGTCCTCCTAGCTTCATCCAGTCTCTGAAGAAAGAAATCTGGCTGTTGGGTATTTGCTAGAGGAGGCCAGAAATGCCTGACCTGTCACTGTTTTCAAAGCATGTGATTCTTTTTTTTTTTTAATTTTTATTTATTTATGATAGGCACACAGTGAGAGAGAGAGAGAGGCAGAGACACAGGCAGAGGGAGAAGCAGGCTCCATGCACCGGGAGCCCGACGTGCGATTCGATCCCGGGTCTCCAGGATCACGCCCTGGGCCAAAGGCAGGCGCCAAACCACTGCGCCACCCAGGGATCCCCTCAAAGCATGTGATTCTGACCTCAGACAATCTGCTAGAACCAGTTCTAGTATTGATTCTAAGGGAGGGCTTATTTAGGATACCACCATGATATAGGGCTTAGTTTCTCATGCACAATACTATTGACCTTTGGGGCTGGGTGAGTCTTTTTGAGGGGTGGGGGTTTATGTCAACCTGTACATTGTAGGATGCTTAATGGTATTCCTGGCCTTTAACCACTAGATGAGAGTAGCACCCCACACTTACAGTGGTGAAAAACAAAAATGCCTTCAAACATTGACAAATATGTACTAGGGAACAAAATTGCCCCCATTGAGAACCACTAGTATAGAAGAAAGAAAACTGGCTTCTGGTTGAATAGACATGAGTCAGCTGTGTAACCTTGGAACAATTACTTACCTTGGTTTCTTTAATCATAAATTCTTTACTAACAGGTACCTCTGAATGAACACCATTTTTTTTTTTTTTTTGGCAGTGCCATGAGCTCTTTGCCTGAATAATCTCACTGAATTGTCAATAACGAATCCTGAAGGGACACTGACTGGTAAAAGCAGGGAGGAAAAAGTAAGGGAGAAAGTCATCTGTATTAAGCATCTTCTCTGTACCATGTAGGATGGCAGGTGCTCTCACATACATTTATCCCTTCTTGTTAGCTATGTGATTTTGAGCAAACCACCCTGGGGCTCAGTTTCCTTATCTATAAAATGATAGCAGCAGGGGAGTTCTGGGAAGATGAAGGCAGTGATGCCAAGCACAGATTTAAATCCTCCCAAGTCCCCACATAAAAACAAAAATAAAATCCATACCCATGTTTACAACAGACCTAGGTAACAAGGTATTTTCAGGAACTCCCTGAACAAATGAGTGAGGACAAATCAGCAGCAGCTCTGAGGCCTGAGTGCCACCAGGGCCTCTGTGGAGGAGATATAAAAGGGAAGCAACAACCTGTCTAACAAACCTTAAAACTGGAGTCCCCAGACTGCAACATCTATGGAAAGCATGGCAGGGCTATTTGAAAACAGCAGCTAAAACTGGGAAGGGTTTTCCCAACTCCAACTAGAGGAGTGCAAGGAGTCTGCCACGAAGCCTCAGGGCTAATGGAGTTTAATGCCCATGAGTTCCAGAAATGACCACCGAACCCTCCTTCCAGGACAGGCCTCATGCTGAGAAACTCCTGGGAAATTTCAATGGAGTAGGATAGGGAAAGCAGAAATCAATGAAAAAAGTGGGCTAGATGAATGTAGGGGAGGAGAGCAGAGCCAGAAAACCTCAGAGGTAAAGCCAGATTTTTGTTAACAATATGCAGAAACAACAGAAGGGGGAGCTCTGTGAAAATACAAAAGTTTTCTTAACCAAGCCTCCTCCAAATGTTCAGAAAAACTATCTCACATAAAAATGAGCAATGGAAAACTACCAAAGTCAAATCCTAGGAAAGCAAGATGGCTTGAAGAAGGAGGAGAAGGAGGAAGAAGAGGAGAGGGAGGGAGAGAGAGAGAGAGAGATCGACCAGGAGAGAGAAGTAGAAAGAGTAAAATAGCAGCCCTATAGACAATGATAGCTTGCCCAGAAAGACATTTAAAAAAAGAAGAAAAAAAATTTTTTTAAATTTTCTTCTTTAAAAAAGAAAAGGAAAGCAAGCTAAAAACATGAACAACATGACATTAAACAAAAAAAGAACAACATAAATCAGAATTACAGAAATTCAGAAACCAGGTGTCAAGTCATGAAAGAATCAGAGGTAAAAAAAAATTATTTTTAAAATGAAAAGTGAACTAAATGGAATATAAGAGCAAATGAAAAAAATAAAATCAACAGATAGTTGAGATAAATAGAAAGTGAAGGGGCAATTTTTAAAAATTAAAGGTAAATGAGGACATAAAAGAATTTGAGGGAAAGGGACAAATCAAAGTTCAGAAATGATCATCTAACCTAGGAATAAGATGTCACTAAAGGGAAAAATAAAACAATGTAACAACAACAACAACAAAACCCCAAAACAAAGCCAGCAATACATCATTGTCTCAGAACAACCAATACCAAGGCACACTTTTGTAAAATTACTGGTTTTTAAAGATAAAGGAAAAAAATTTTAGGTGCCCTGAGCACGTAGGCAAAATGGAAATAAAATGAGATTCTCATCAGACTCTTCAACAGCAATGCTTTAAGCAGGGAGGTAATGCTATAATATATGTAAGACACTCAAAGGAAGTACGAACCAAGAATTTAAATCCAGCAAAACTGATCTTCTATAAAGACCCGTTATTATCTCGCAAACACTCTGTTTTTTTCTCTGAGCCTTTCCTGAGTTGTCTACTGAGAATGAGCTCCAGCCCAACAACATGCCTGGAGAGACTTTGCCATGAGGACTGGTGGTAATATTGCATTGCATATTTACTGAAAGATAGCTAAAAGAGAAACAAAGGGGCACCCCAGGTGGCTCATTGGTTTCCCTTCGCATTCAGCCCAGGGCCTGATCCTGGAGACCCAGGATCAAGTCCCATGTTGGGCTCCCTGCATGGAGCCTGCTTCTCCCCCTGCCTGTGTCTCTGCCTCTCTCTCTGTGTGTCTCTCATGAATAAATAAATAAAATCTTTAATAATAAAAAAAAAAGAAACAAAGTTTGTAGGGCCTGTATGCTCTAACAATGTAGCTATAGTACAATTCCCCCAAAGTGGTGGGGAATACGCCTAGTGGATGCAAACATTTTTTTATCCATTTTCAGTATTCTAGTTAATAGCGGCAGTTTTACCATTGCTATTCTGTTGTAAGTATAAAGTGGCAAATCAGTTATTGCAGAATCTTTCAAATTTTTCATCTCTTGTGTCCTTGAAAACCAAAGTTACACTGAGGTGTATATATATATATATATATATATATATATATATATATACCCTATAATCTGTATTAACAAATATATAATAAAATCTATGTCTATATTTATATAAAATATTAATTCTATTCACTAAAAACAATGACCAATCTAGTAGCAGTGAGTGTACATAGCCTCAGTTTATAGTCTTGAAATGCCCTTTTCTAGAAGGACTTCTTGGGGAAATTTCTGATTCTAAAGATGTGGCAAGAAATGAGCCTGGAATATCTTGTCATAACTAGATAACAAGGAAGCCATCCAGGCTATCAAGTGGACTTAGAAACCAACCTAATGATGGTACAATTTCTGCTGTAACAAAGACTATAATTGCAATTGATTGAAGTGCATCAAATATGTTTCAATAAGTTCATAATGTTATTTAGCAAAAACACCAACTGATCTCCTTCTGAGGATGGCATAGAAACAAATTATATTCTTAAAACTATGTAAATAAAACAGGAGAATCAAGTATTTGTCCCATCTTTCCTATATGAACTGTACCACTGGGTGACCAAATAATAGATTAAGAAAAACATCTTATAAAATTATTAAAATTGGTACAGGAAAACAAAATGATACGATACTGCCATTTTGCAACCTCCTATGAATTTAGTGTATATAGCTGTTGTACACAATAGCAGCTAATAACAAAAAAAAGAGCAAACTCTAACCACATATGTGTTTCTTGATCAAAGAACACAGAACCACCTATAATCATGTCAGAGGGATGGAAACTGGTTGACCTAGCTGCTAATATGCAGGAAACACAGAAGGCAAGGGCCTGTTGAATTGAACTGTAAGGATGCAGTAGACAAAATCCAGACTTTGAGAAACTCTATGGGTCAAAAAGCGTAACAGATAAACTACAAGGAAAAGAAAGAAATACAGGGGCAATCTATGGCTTAAAACACATATTAAGATTTTTTTTAAATGGGCAAAATAGAACTATAATATCTAGGGATGTACATGCAAATGATTAAGCAAAGAAATAATTACTATTAAAGTCAGGCTAGTAATTACTTTGGGGGGAGGGGTTTGATTGAGTTGGTGTACATAGAGGGGCTCCTGGGGTCACTGGCAAAGTTTTATTTCTTGACCTGGGTGGTGGTTACTGGGATGTTTGCTCCCCAAATAATCACTAAGCCACACATTTAATTTGTATGATTTTCCACATCTGTGATTTGTTGTATAATACAAAGTTTTTAAAAGATGAAAACAGAACTGCTTACCTCACTGTGTACGTGTATGTGCATATACACGTTTGAATATATGGCTTCTGATACATAGTAGGTTCTCAATAACTATGAGTTCTCTTTACCGTTAATCCTGTCGAACAGCCTTACTGGTGTGATTTCAGCACCATTGCTAACATCACTAACTTGTGTGACCAATCAAAAATAGTTAATTCTCATTAAGTGATTATTAGGTGCCAGGCACCATTCCCAGTGCATCTAATTTAACAGCATCCTCATAATTCTATTATTATTATCATTCCCATTTTATAGAGAAGAAAATTGAGTCAGAGAGGTCACCTGTGACCACACAGAAGGTGGCAAAGCAGCTTGGTTTTGAACCCAGGCAGTCTGCCTCCACAGTCTACCCACTGCATATATAACTTACCAGTTTTCATTTAGTCTCCAGTGTCCTGTTTGTAGGAATTACTTCCCCCTACTGAGTGCCTGTCAATGTGTGTGCCATCCCTCTATCCTTATTACCTGAATCTCACAATCCTGGTGGGTGGAGGTGCTTGTTAGTTTGCATTTGACAGATGGGAAAACCAGACTCAAAGAGGCAAAAGAATTTGCCCAAAATAAATGGCAGTTGGGGGTGGGGGAAGGTAAATTGTGGCTGGGGAGGGTTCATACTCTTTGGCCCTTGGGATTCTAAAGAACAAAATGTTCCATACTCTTAAACAGATGCTCA